TTTCTCCAGGGTTTTGACCTCTCAAGTTTGCTTCTCTTGACCAAAAACTCAGTGTGTTCCTCCATCCCTCAGCAACAGCTCCCTGCCTGGGAAGACTCCAGATTCCCAGCCTCTTGCCCCGTGCCCAGAATGCAAATGCATTTAGGGAGAAAGTGCTGTGGCGTGTTGGAATGTTGTCTCCTCTCCCAGCAGCCCCCATCTCTGGAATCTTGGCCTGCTAGTCCGAGTGGCTTCCGTAGCTCTTTGATTCACATTGTGAGATTTTACCCAGCTTCTCTAGCCAGACACAGTGGGAGGGAGCATGGCTGTGTCTCCAGCCCTTCTACCTAGAAGGGCTCTGCTTTCCATACTCTGCGCTCTCACCCGCTGTCCACCCTGGAGCCATAGCGTAGTGTCCATGTGTTCTTGTAATGCTCTCACAGGTGAGGTTCTAGCTCTTTTTAAATATGGGAGAGCCAGTTGTTCCAATGCCAGTCTCACCCAGTTACCTGAAATGCTGCCTTATCATCCATTAGTTGTGTCTGTCTGTCTGCCTGTGTGGTCATGCTTCATCTTTTCTGTTGGTTTCTATTCACCTGTCATTGCTGGACTTTGGAAGTCATGACAGCTTTATAGTAAGTCTGATAGCTGGTAGGGTATGTTCTTTGTTCTTATTTTTGACTGGTCTCTTTGGAACTCTTGCATAATTCCACTGAAAATCCTGTTGGAATATTTTGCTTACTGGACTAGCACTGAATTAACATATTTAAATTTGGGGAGAACTGAAAATTGTGCAATATTGAATTGAACATCTGCTTTCATAAATATTTTCTTTATTCCTAATTATTTCCTATTTCAGCACTGAGCATTGCTCACTCAACAGATATAGCCTCCTTTTTTTTTTTTTTTGAAGACACGAAGGCATGTTGCTAAATGCTAGAAATCTCATTTCAATTTACATTCACACCAGGAATTCATGACCTTGCTCTTGCCCTTCCCGCCCCAGCTGGAATAGCCTAATACTTTTCTCCATCTGGAGTGCGGGGAGATTTTGCTGCCTAAGGAAATGCAGATTCCCAGGGAGCCACGTCCCTCCAGTCCCCTCCTGGGTGGCCGTATTTGGAGGTGAGAGGGTCATACTGTTAAAAAAACCCTTAACTTACAGTGTGTGGGTAAGGGTGTGTGCCATGGCTGCAGGGGCTCTGGCATGCAGCCGGTGTGACTGCAGCCCCCAGTTTTGCCCCCACCCACCTGGGCTTTGGCTCACATCTTACACTTGTAGGCCCTCAGTGGCCGGCTGCTCTGGGGGCATCCCTCTCTCCCTGCGGCCTTTGGATGGCTGTGCTTTCCCATGGGGTGGTTCTTTTTTTTTTTTTTTTTAAGATTTATTTATTTATTTATTAGACAGAGATCACAAGTAGGCAGAAAGGCAGGCAGAGAGAGAGGAGGAAGCAGGCTCCCTGCTGAGCAGAGAGCCCCATGGGGTGGTTCTGCTCCACATCTAGCCTGTGCTGGGGGGTCCTGACCCTGGGTGGGGCCTGGGAGTTTAAAGCCTGAAGTCTGCACTGATCCCAGCCCCTGTGGGACTCCCTCCATCTGCAAAGAGAGACAGGCCCCAGGATCTTTGTCAGGATCCTTCTGCTCTTGAGAGTCTCAAGCCCTCTCCCCTAAGCCTTTGCTCTCCTTGGATGCCTCTAGTGATAGGGGTTCACAGCTGAAAGGGCACCTCGGTTCATTTTAGGTGGCACCTGGTCTTCATGTCAGGCTGAGTTCTGTTTTCTGGAGCTCCTGGCCATTTCTGGATGGCCCACATCTCTCTGCCTGAGCTTGTCCTCCTCCATGTTCCCAGGGGCCCTGTCCTGCAAGCCCCCAAGCCCCCTTGGGTGGCTGGCTACATCATCAGGCTGGCAGCCCATTGGAAGCCTGTGGGAAAGGGCTTTCAGAGTGGCCAGAGCAGCACCGTAATTCCACAGGGAGCTTTTGCTGGCTTTCCTCAGGGTCCCGGGCCCTGAGAGGTAAAATCGCTTTGGGGTCATCAAATGGTCTCAACCCTGTCATTTCACAGATGGGTAAACCAAGGCTCAGGGGTTAAGTCACACGGTGGAAACAAAGACAGGAACGGGACTGGGTCCCTGGTCCCTGGCTTGCACCTCCTCCACGTGAGGTCGATGCCAGGAATGCCCCCGGCGGCTGCAGCCCGAGTTGGGAGCTGTGGGACAGGGTACTGAAATGCAGCATCTATCCACTTACTTAGGACTGTCTGTCCCATCGTTTGGATTTGCTGAGCGAACCATTTCCTTCCCTGCTCATCTGGGCACCAGGTTATTGCTGGATCCAGCTGCCAGTGAGAGCCCCAGGATGTAGGGTATGGGGGGACATTCTGGAACCCTGTTCTATTTGAAAACACCCTTGACAGGTTTAAAGGCCCAGCCTATGTCAAGGTCAGGCTTTTGGGGGGATGATCTCCGTCTCATGACTGCTGTCCCCACTGCTGGTGAGAACCCACACACCGCTCGTTCCCACAGGGGGATGGAGATTGGTGTGTCCACCAGGTCCCTGGCCAGTGGGCTGGGCCAGGGTCCCACAGGGGAATGGAGGTTGGTGTGCCCACCAGGTCCCTGGCCAGTGGGCTGGGCCCGATGCAGGAGCACAAGTCAGAGGATGGTGGGCTTCTGTGGCTCCCGCTGAGCACACCTGGCACAGCCCCCAGTGCTGGGCTGCCCAACCCTCTTCATCCTGGGCCTCAGGGTCTGGACGTCTCCTCGTTGTGGTGGGGAGACCACAGGGCCCCAGGTGCTCTGAAGAGGCCCAGCCTCAGAGATGTGTTGGGCAGCATTTTTCTGTGGAAACAGACTCTTGAAGGTGGTTCTGTTCCTGGGACCCCCTAGAAGCTTCCCTGGGAAGGCAAGGCTGGACTCTGGCCCTGCTGGGACCTGTGCCTGTCCGCTGATCCCAACTGCTGGCCTCACAGTGACCCCGGAGCCTTGGCGTGGAGTCAGAAGGAGAAGGACTAGGTCGGGGGCCAGGTAAGGGGCTGTGTCTCATCTCCCTGTCAGCCACCTGCCAGATAGGGCGGCTCAGCTTCAGCCTCAGGAGACTCACCCATGTATCATCAGGTCTTCAGCAGCTCTAGCTTTGGTGCAAACAAGATTTTTCTGTCGCTTTGTGGTTCCTCTGAATATTTGCCTGCCTGCCAGGTGGGGCAGGAGGCTCTGCGTTGCCCCAGCACCATGGGACTGTCCCCCAATGCCTGTTACTATACTCCTGCCCACAGGGACACTTGGCCCTGCCTTGGAGCCCGGGGCAGCTCTGTGCCCGTGCCTCCCTCCCTGCCCCTCCCTGGCCTCCCCAGGGTCCCTCTGGCTGCTTCCCTTCCCTGCCATCCCGCACGCCCCAGCAGAGACCCTCACCATTCCCCATGCTCCAGCGGACCCCCACTCCGCCATCCCCAATGCCCCAGCAGAGACCCCCACCATTCTCCACGCTCCAGCAAAGACGGTCCCCCCACCACTGTCCCTACTGCTCCTCAGCAGTTTGGATGTGTTTCTCTATAATCTCTGGGGTCTGTGTGAGATGCCCGTGCCATTCCCATTCTCCACTGTTTGTGGTCTGTCGTTCTCTCTGGAAGCTTCCAGAATCTTCCCGTTAGCCTCAGTTTGCTTGGTGTGTGACTTTCTCCTGCCGGCCGGGTGAGTGGTGAGTGCTTGAGTTTGGAGACTCGCGACTTGTAGTCCTGGGAGGTTTCCTTGAGTTCTCTCTCAGTGGCTCCTTTTCCCTGATCCTCAAATCTTATCTCTTCCCTTTCATGGAAAATTACTTAATTCCAACCTTTTGGTTTACTTTCAAAGTTTGTGGTTTCATATTTTTAATTTCCAAAAACTCTCATATTCATTAGACAGCCCTTTTGAAAATAGCATTCTCCACCCATTCGTGGGCATAGCAATTTTTCTCTCTGAGAATATTAATTATAAGGAATTTAGAAAATACTTTTCTTCTCTTTCCTGCACTGTTCCTTGCTGCTTGCTCCTTTCCTGGTGGTTTCAGCGTCTATATTTCTTGCTGGAGGGTGTGGTCCTGGCGGGTCCCCCCAGCCATGAACTCCGCACGGGGATCTCAGGGCTAGGCATCTTGGGGGTGCCTCAATCCTGTCCCTTCAGCAGGCGCTCCATGCCCACCCTCATCTGGGCCTCGGGTCCCCAGGCTGGGCAGGGCTCTCTCCTGCCAGGTGGTGGGGGAGGTCCAGGCTCTGGATGGCCACAGGGGAGAGTGGGGCCCTGGGGGTCTTCCCTAGTCTGCCAGGGCCTCTGAACCACGATTCCACAGACTGGTGGCCCAGAGAAGAGAGACATATTGTCTCCCAGTCTGGAGGCCGAAAGTCAGAGGTCAGGTGTGGACAGGGTGGCTTCCTTCTGGGCTTTGTCTGCTGTCACCTTAGCCATTCCTTGGCTTGTAGAAGCATCGCCCGGATCTTTGCCTCTGTCTTCACCTGACACTGTCCTGGTGTGTGTCTGTCCAGTTGTTCTCTTTTGTAAGGACTCCATGTTGACTCCGGGGCTTACCAGACTCTTGCGTGACCTCATCTTTACCAGTCACATCTGCAAGGACCCCATTTCCAAATAAGGTCACATTCTGAGGTCCTGGGGTTTAGGACTTCAACACAGGGATTTTGAGGGGACAGAATTCAACCCATGGGAGGTTTAATGCTGGCTTTCCACCAACAACCATTTTTGGTCCCACCCGGACGCCACTTTTGGAGGCGCCAGGAGCCTTTCTGGGTCCCACTGAGTGCATTGGCTTGTTTCTTGTTAGGCTCTGGATTTCCAGGCTTGCTAAGCCAGGCTGTATTTGTGGTGTTTCTCATCTGTAGCCACCCCCGCCGCAGCCCCCCATCCCTCTGGATTGGCACCACATGCAAGCCTCCTTTAGCGGGATTTTGGAAGGGAGAAGTTTGCCGGCCCCCAGAAGTAACTGTTCTGCCTTTCTGGGTATTGTTTCTAATTCATGTCTCCCTTTTTCTCAAGGTCTCCACGCTCACTTGGGCTCCCAGCACTGCTAAGGGTGACCCACAAAGGCCGGCACGATGGCCGGGGCCTCGGTGAAGGTGGCGGTACGCGTCCGCCCCTTCAATTCCCGGGAGATGAGCCGAGACTCCAAGTGCATCATCCAGATGTCCGGAAGCACCACCAGTGAGTACTGGTCATGGGTGGCCACGGGTGGTGCGTCACTGGGACCTGGGCACCCCCCCCCACCCCGGCTCCCTCATCGACCATGGAGTACCAATTCCCTGAGCTGGTGGCAACAGATGACCACCAGTGGGGGTGGGTGGTGGCTCCTACAACAGTTCTGAAGGCCAGTGTCTAAAGTCAAGGTATTGACAGGGTCTTGCTGCCTCTGACCTTCTAGACCAGACTCCTTCCTGCCTCCTGCGGCTCCAGGTGGTTCGGCTATCTGGGCCTGTGTCCTGTGGTGGCTGGTGGCCTTCACAGGTGGAGGGCGGGTGGGCTAGGTGGGTGCTGGGCCCTCAGGAGGACACTCGCTGTCAGCACTGGGCCTTGTGGGTAGAGTGGACGGTCACTGAAACCAGTCCTCCACAGTATGTGACCGAAGTAGCATTTAAGTAACGACTTGAAACACAAAAAGAGAACAGAATGCTGGTCCCCAGATGTAGGACCCACCCTGATCTGGTGTGATCTCACTGTGACAGCTAATTCCATCTCCAAAGACCCCGTTTCCAAAGAAGGTCATCTTCTGAGGCTCAGGATAACGTGAATTGGGGGCCCACTTCCCACCAGCGCGTGAGGTTCTGGATCTCATCTCGCTTCAGCTGCCCCCCACTTATACATATATATGTCACTTCATTCAAGCCTATTCTTTTCCCTTGTTTACAACCGTAAGTCGTCTCAAACATTCCTGAGGAGAGGAGGCCTGCAGTCCCCATGCTAACAGGTGGGAGTTAGGGAGGGAATGACAGTGTGGTGCTCAGGAAGGCAGGTGGGCCCTGACAGCTTCGTTAGCACACAGGCTGCTGGAGGGAAACAGCACCCACTCCCTGCCTGGCCTTTGCTCCCTGGCCTTGAACTTGTGGATCCTGTTGTCCCCTCATGCAGACGAGTGGACAGATTCTTCCAACCCAAGCAGAACCCAGGCCAAGAAGTGGAGCATGGCTGGACCCCAGGAGACCCTCCTGCCCCCCATCCACCTTTGCTTCTAACACAGAAGTTGGGGGGACTTGTTTTGGTCCCATGAAAATTGAGGCAGTGTCTGGGTTATGTCTCCAGCTGACTAACAGTTTGCCCCCAGGCCTGTGACTTAGAACGAGAATTCCAGGCTCAGCCAAGTGGTTTGCCCCTGGGGTCCCTCGAGCAGTGACCGCGACTGTCACCGTAGGCTCAGGGGCCACAAGCCGTACTGTGTGCTGGCTGTCATTTCCCCCAGAGGCTGTGGGATGGATGGCAGGCCTCACCCCCCACACACCCATACTCCACCAGCTCTCCAGGTGTTTAGGGAGGGGCTGGCCAAGGGGAGAGGCACTCAGAGAGGAGGGCAGCTGCCTCCCTAGGCCTGTTTAGGGGGTGAGGATTCAGGGGTCTTTAGAATGTTCTAGGTACCTTAGGCTCTGTGGGAAGGTGTGGGGGCGGGGAGGTGGTCTTTTCAGACTCCTTCATCCTGGGTGGGCAGGTTGTGGAGGTCCTGCTCAGATCTCACTCAGGGGCCACTGGGCACAGTGTAGCCATGTGCATTTGAGGTTTTGTCACAGTGCTTAGGAATGGTGTTGCCTCCACTGGGTCCTTGGAAGCAGACCCTGATGTGAGGATTTGGGTGCCAAAGGTTTATTGAGGAGGTGGTCTCAAGCTATGCGGGGAGAGAATGTGGACATGCGGAGAAGCTGTGGAGGATGCTGATGCATGGGTGGCCGCCCCAGACAGCAGGTTTGGGTCACTGGGACCCTCTGGCATAGAGAATGTGTCTCCGCGTTGTCCTCCCCGAGGCTGGCTGCTTGTCCAGCATCTTCCCCAGCATGAGCCGAGGGTCAGTCCAGGGGCTTGGTTTCCTTATGACCTGAGCAGGTGCTCAGGGGGTGTGACTCATGCCTAAAGGTTGGAAGCCAAGGGCTGCACAGAAACTGAACTCTGGGTAGGACCCACGGCATCCTAGGTGAGAACAGTGACCCCTGGATACAAACCATGACCTCGGGTGAGAACTATTACCCCAGGTTGGAACTGTGACCCCTAGTGAGAACCATGACCTCTGATGGGAAATATGACTACTGGTGGGAACTGCGACTCCTTATGGGAACTGCAAGCTCTGGTGGGAACTGTGACCCCTGGTTGGAGCCATGACCTCTGGTGGGAACTGTGACCTCTGGTGGGATTTGTGATCTCTTGTGGGAACTGTGACCCGCTGGTGGGAACTGTGACCTCTGATGGGATTTATGATCTCTGGTGGGAACTGTGACCCCTGGTGAGAACCATGACCTCTGGTGGGAACTGTTACCTGTGGTGGGAACTGTGACCCCTGGTGGGAACTGTGAGTTCTGGTGAGAAGTGACCCCAGGCTAGGAACCATGATCTTTGCTGGGAGCTGTGACCCTGGGTGGGCAGAGGACATGTGCCCAAGGAGCCGACAGGGTCTGCCATGTCACTCTCAGATGATCCCAGATGTCAAGAATGACAGTGGGGACCCCTGTTCCCTCCTGGACCAGGCCCTGGCAGCACCACCCTCACCTCAGACAGTAGCTGAGAGTCCGGGCAGGAGTGGCTCACAGGTGACCACACCCCCTGGGAGCTGGCAGGATATAGAACAACACATCAGAGTCAGACCCGTCTCCCATGGAGCTTGGGAGTGGTCTCAGATAGGGTGGGACAGGTGCCAGGGAAGCAGACAGCTGGAGGAGATGATGGGCTGTGGGGTTGAAAGCTCTGACTGGCCTCTGGCCCTAAAGACAGAGACGCAGAGACACAGACAGACAGAGAGGAAAGAAGTGTCAGAAGAATGGATAATTGAGACAGTCATTCGGGAAGCTGTATTCATCTGGGAGAAAGCAGTGATGGTACTGGTAGAAAGTGCTAGAAGCCATGTCAGAAGTGTGGGTGAAGGCTGGGGGAGCCCAGAGGAGAGGGATGCCCTCCATCCCTTGGTGCAGGAAAGCTTATCTGTGGAATGGGGTCAGCGGCCAGGTTGGGTTTTCTTCCTGGCGACGCTGGGGCAGAGTTGGGGGGGGGGGTCCCCCGAGCCAGGCTGAGGAGGGAGTGCGTGGAACTGTTTGGGCGGCAGCTCACAGCCACGTTTTCAGTGTAGGTGGGGCCCGTGAGAAGGGGTGGGGATGGTGCTCTGTGTGGAGGCTATGCAAGGCCTTAGGGCCAGCTTGTGTTTTCAGCAGGGAGCACTTGCTCAGCAATATGGAGACGCCGGGGAGCGGACCACGTGGCTGCTCTGGCCACGCACTGGCTTGTCAGGGCCCCGTGCCAGGCCGTGAGTGTCAGGGTGGGAGGCCATCCAGCCTTCCCCGCTCCACCCCCTGGGATGTTGACACAGTTCTTGGATCTCAGATCCAGGTGCTCACAGGAGATGCCGGGTCCCTGAATGGGCCGCTCAAAGCTCCGTGCTGACACAAACACGTTAGAAACGTTAACTGCTAAACATCCTTTGTCCTCCTGTGTTTATCACCTGAATAAACAATACCCTTCCCTTGAATGGGCCAAATCTGCTGGTTTTGTGAGCCAGGCAAACTGCATGGCAAACGCTTCCGTCCACCTCTTGGCAGGCCAGTGGAGGTTACCGAGGGGTGCAGACGTCCTGTGTGTCTCCCCACGTTCCCACTGTGCAAGACAGCAGACGTGGGGACATCTGGCAGGGTTTCCCATCTTCTGAGTCCTTCTGGTCCCACAGAGGAAGGCTCTGGATGGGGATCTTTCTGCCCCTGCACCGCTGAGGCCCTGTAGGCAAGGCTGGGCCTGCGTCTCCTGCCTTCTGTGTCCCCCATGGGCCAGCCGACACCAAGGCCCTCTGCACCGGGGGGAAGTCCGTTTCCGGGGACAGATGAACTGAGACAGAAGTGATTTTGCCAAGGTGTCCATAGGTTTGGTTCCCTCTGAGACTCTGAGAGAATGTGCTCCTGACCTGTCTCCTGCTTGTGGCAGCTGCAACAGGCCTGGGCTGGCCTCTGTCCTCACGTGGGCTTTTCCCTGTGCATGTCTGTCTGTCTGTCTCTGGTGGACCCTACTTCTTATATACAGACCGCCCTAATCGGCATGATCTCATCATTACTAATCTCATCTGCCAGGACTGTATTTCCAAAGAAGGTCACATGCTGAGGTTCCCAGTGGATGTGAATTTGGGGAGGACACTCCTCACCCAGGACAGTGCCTCTGGAGCAGAGGGGACAGACCAAGGCCACAGGGCCAATACATCCAGGGCCTGCCCCCAGCCCAGCCAGGCTCCACAGGCCCATGCTCAGCCTGGCCTTCCTGCCTCCAGCCCTCCTCCCGGATCCTGGCAAGCTGGTCCCAGTGTGATTTCAGGCAGTGACCACCATTCTGGAACATTCCAGACCCTTCTCTTCTGCTCTAGGGGTCTTTCTCCCAAAGGCCTTTGTCAATCAGCAGCCCTCTGCACAGACCCAGGTGTTGCAAACGCCTAACTCATCTAAGCCTCCATTTGCTGTCACTGTTCTAGAATGTTCTAGGCTCCAGATAGAGTGAGCCTGGGAATGGAAGGCCACAGAAGGGAGCTCAGCAGTGGCACCACTGCAGGACTGTTCACGGTATCCACAGAGGAGCCCTGGAGGCCGGGAGCTGGGGCACCAGCCTCAGCCCAGAGGGCAGGTGCCTGTCTCTCCTGCCAGCCCCATCCAGGGAGGGCTACACAGCCTGGAGCCGTCTTCTCCCCTGGAATTGCTCCCTTAGAATTCTTCTCCCTTAGAATTGCAGTGGGTGTCCTGCTCACAGAGCGCAGTGGTGGCCGTGTGTGTTGTCCCCATCATCCGGCATGGATGAGGACAGTTCTCGAGGCATGGATGGGGAGACCAAGGCTCTGTGATGTGTGTCATCATGTGTGGCTGCATGGGAAGAGCAGGGTGGACATGAGGCCCCTTCAGGTCATCAGTAAACATTTTCTGGGCATGGGCCTTAGGAGGCTGCCCTCTGGAACCCCAGGGCAGCAGGACTGAGGCTCTTAGTGCTCTTGGGTGACACGCCAGTGGGGAGGCAGGCAATGCACACATCAGTGCCCGATGGAGCCAGACTAGCAGGGACAAAGGCAGTGTCTTGCAACATTAAGAAGGGGTACAGTGATGGGGGGCGGGGGGGCGGGGGCTGGGAGCCACATCTGGTAGAGGGAGCTATCCCAGTGGGTCGGAGAGGGGAGGAGGTGAGCGCTCCTGTGCTGGCGCTGAGGGGTTGGACTCTGTTCCCTGAGAGCCCAGTAGTGTTCTGGTCTGCTGCAGCGGGCTGTCTCCCCAGTCCTGCGAGTGTGCCACGGTGGGCTGCTAGTAAACCAGTTCGCCCATGCGTGGGCTTACATGAACACATATGCACACACACACTCTTGTGTGTGCACACACATGCGCAACATGCTCTCACACGCACACATACACACACACGCGCACACATGCTCTCTCACACACTCACATGCACACACACTCTCGCACACACACGTGCACACACTGACATTCTCGCACGTGCACACACTGGCTCCCATCAGTCCCTCCCTGCCTCCCTTCCCTGTCCAAGCTGGGCCCCCCACCAGCCACATCTCCATCCCTGGCAGGTGCCTGTGCCTTGTGCACTCTCTATTGTGCACTCTCTGGAGGGGCTCTGCCTATCCCCCCCTCCCCCTCCCCGCCGCCCCAGGAGGACCCTTCCTTCCTCCTTAGTGCCACACAAGGAGAAACTCAAGCCCCTGAAGGGAGGGTCTTGCTCTAGTGGAGTGGCCCTGTCCCAGTGTGCCTGGTGAGGGTTTGGAGGTGAGGAGCCGGGCCCAGGTGGATCCTGGCTTCCAGTCTCACTGCGTTTGGAGCTCAGATCCCATCTGTAAAGGTCCCAAGATCCCATGGGACCCCCAGGAGGGAATGGGGAGAGGTGACAGGCAGTCTTGAGTGCCAGAAGACCTCTGCCTGATGGTCCTCGTGGCCGACTCTCCTGTGGCCAGCTCCTGCCCTTTGTCCCTCACTGTTGGCTGTCCCCGGTCACTCGGTACTCCTTGAGCACAGCTGTGCTCTGTTCCTGGGAGCCCCCTGCCACTGCCGCAGGGAGCCCGCAGTCCAGGAGAGGTACATGGCAAACTCCCCAGCACCAGGACACGGTCAGAGCGAGGTCGGCACCCAGAACTGGGCAAGGGTCACACGGGACAAAGGGGAGCAGGCTGGACGGGGTGGGGGCCATCGGGGGCCTGGCCCGGGCTTGGGTTAGGAGATGCTGTGATTGTTGTGATTGTTGTTTCCACGGCACTGGCATTACCTGCGCTTGGGGTTCCAGTGGCTGCGTCCCCAGGTCCCCTCAGGAATTGGAAGCAGGGCCGCTTTCTGTCCTTGGCCTTGCTCCTGGAGGCAGCATGGATGTGAGCTGCGCTTGGCTCCAAGGACAGCACTGTGACGGTCAGTCACCTGCTCCATCTGCTTGCTTCCCAAACGTGCTGGGTGATCTCCCAGAACTCCTCAAACCTGGGGTCTGGGGCCCAAAACTGAGTCATCCCTGGGGACAGGCTGCAGGCAAAGCCCGTGCTGGGAGTGGGGCACTCAGGCCGAGCAAATGGCTATGAGGCCAGCCTATAGGGCAGTTGCAGGTTTGGATGTTGGCCCAGCAGGCAGTGGGTGGGTGGCCTGATGGGGTTGGGGGCCTCGGTGGCTCCTGCCTGACCCCCAGATGCATGTGGCCTGTGCCTCTGGCACATGGGAAATACTGGAGTGGGGTTCCTTGCTGGCCTGAGGCAAAGCAGCCTGGGGTGGGGGCCTGCCAGGTTCTGTGGTTGGCACCAGCTGGTGGCTGATGGCACCACCACGCTTTTGTGGCCTCGTTCCTGGCTTGAAAAAATGACATTCTGGGTGTGGTACCTCTGACCAGCATCACGTGCCACTCACTGGGGGCGGGGGCAGGGGACCATGCAGAAGATGGTGCCAGGGAAGCCCATGAGAGCAGGCCCGCAAGGCACCAGCAGCATGGGGCAGGAGGGCCAAGCTGTGTGACTGCGATGGAATCCCGTGGTGCACGGATGATCCATGCGGTAATGGTGGGCACACAGGGAGCAGAGCTCGACCCCGCCCATGGTCTCCAGCCTCCGTGTGGGTCTTGGACGCGTGTGTGCAGAGCAGAGGAGTGGGGTGGGGAGCAGGGCTGGACCGAGGCATGGAGGTGGCTGGGGGGTCTCCTGCTGACCCAGCGTCTGCAGGAAGGAACCCGTCTGGGTGCCATGAGGAGGCATGTATGGGCAGCAGGGTCCACCTGACGGAGGAAAGGGGCACACATGGCCTGTCTGCCTGGAATTGGAGCCCTGGTCCTGTCCCCCTGGTGGACTGGCTTGTCTGGGGCCAGAGGCCTCCCTCTCTTGGGGTACCTGTCTGGGGGGTATGTACCACATGCTGATGGCCTGTCCCCCCAGCAGAGGGTTAACCGCCATGCCTGTCCCCCTCTGCAGCTATCATTAACCCCAAACAGCCCAAGGAGACCCCCAAAAGCTTCAGCTTCGACTACTCCTACTGGTCACACACCTCGGTAAGCCCAGGTCTGGGGCTCGCGGGAGGTGGGGGGGTGTGCCGCAGCAGTGTGGATGCTCGACGTGTCCCCTGACCTTTCTGAGATGTATGTGTCTCTAAACAAGGCTGCCATTGCAGGGGAAGGAGGGACAGGTGTGAGGCCCAGGGCGGGGCGGGGAGGGGGCTACTTTCCCAAGTTGTGTGTGGAAGGTCACCCTCAGTGGTGACATGCATTGTTAGGGTAACCCCCTGGGGCCTGCGTAAAGCAGTCCTGTTAGGAGAGCATTTCACATAGTAGCCTGGTCCCTGGGCTTCCTGGGCCTCCCGTCCCGCCCTCCCAGTCCCAAGGCTGCCGGCCACGCCTTCATTTTGAGCATTCTGTCTCCTGTTCCTGCCTCTGACCCTGGTACAGCCCGTTAGCTCTGCAGAAATGCCCTCTGGCCAGCGCCTTCCAGCCCCTCCCCTGGGGAGTGCACCCTGCCGGGCAGGGTTGGGGCCCCTGTGCAGGGAGTGTGCAAGGGGTGGGGGTGCAGGGGTGCATCCGGCCTCCTACAGCCGTGTGGCCTTCTGTCTTCCAGCCCGAGGACATCAACTACGCCTCCCAGAAGCAGGTATATCGGGACATTGGGGAGGAGATGCTGCAGCACGCCTTCGAGGGCTACAATGTGTGCATCTTCGCCTACGGGCAGACCGGGGCCGGCAAGTCCTACACCATGATGGGCAAGCAGGAGAAGGACCAGCAGGGCATCATTCCACAGGCACGCGGGGGTTAGGGAAGGCGGCACAGGGCCTCATAAGGGCAAACCAGATGGATCTGCACCACTGAGGCGGAAGGACCTGGCAGGGTGCCCTGGGAGAGTAGCCACAGGAGGACAGAGCCAGGAGGGAAGGTAAACCGGGAGGGCAGAGGGCACTGCGGAGCAGCAAGGGGCAGAGCCCTAGGCCCTAGCGCAGGGTGCTGTGAGGCCTGGTCGTCTGGGCAGAGAAAGATGCCTGGATGAGGGGTGGCCTTTGGGTAAGGCTGAGGCAGATGCCTCGGTACTGCTGGGACCCTGGCCCCCACCCCACCAGCTCCCCTGGGCAGGCCTCTGGATCTGCGCTGGTTAGCGCTTGACCTGGCCTGGGCAGGGGAGAATGCCAGGTAGTCTGTAGCATGAGAGACCCCGCCCACTCTGTGTACACAAGGACGGCACGCAGAGAGTGGGAAAGGATCGGATATCATCCGAGAGGACTCCAGGACTTAAGCAGAAGACAGCTGCTCTTAGGGTGCAGGCCTTCTCAGTGCATTTGAGATGGACTACTGGGGAGCAGGAGGGGCCTGGAGAGCTCAGGCTGCCCACAGCACCTGGGGGCAGGTCTGCAGGAACAGCACCACTATCCCCATCGTCTGACACTGTGTCCTCGGCCCCGCAGCTCTGTGAAGACCTGTTCTCCCGAATCAATGACACGACCAATGACAACATGTCCTACTCCGTGGAGGTAGGGCTCCCTGAGTGTCTGTGACTCCAGCATGGAGAGGGAGGTGGTCCAGGCAGGGACAGCAATGCTTTTCTGGTTTAAAGCAAGTCCCCGCCCCTGGTTGGTCCCTGAGCTTGTCACTCGTGCATGCATGTAGCAACCCACTCAGGGTACCCACTCAGAGCACGGGGACATGCTGGGCACAGAGAAGTGAGGGGTGGTCCCCTGCTCAGTGAGTGTTGATTAAGTAGCACTCTGTGCCAGGTGTGAGGACAGGTGTCTCCGAGCTGCATAGCCTGGTTCTGCTGTGGCCGCAGTGCCCCTGGGGTGTTTCCACAGGATGGGCCCCCAGGATGGGGGGTGGGTAGGAGGGGGAGGCCAGCTGGAGGGGATGGGCTAACAGCCCAGCTCCTGCACTCACACGGGCTGGGGGTCCTTTGCATGCCTCCCCCTACCCAGCAGGTGGCCCCCTACCCCCTACCCCTGTCCCTGATGACAGCCAACCCTGTATCCCCACCTTGGGGGGGTTCCCTGCTGGTGGCCCCCACACCCCCGGCTCCCTGCCTGGGGGTCCCTGAGGGAATGTCTCTGCCCTGCAGGTCAGCTACATGGAGATTTACTGTGAGCGCGTCCGCGACCTCCTGAATCCCAAGAACAAGGGCAACCTGCGCGTGAGGGAGCACCCACTGCTGGGGCCGTACGTGGAGGACCTCTCCAAGCTGGCCGTCACCTCTTACAATGACATCCAGGACCTCATGGACTCAGGGAACAAGGCCAGGTGCGTGCTGGGTGGCTGGTCTGTCCTCCCCATGCCTGCTGCTGCATGCCCCTGTGGAAGGCCTGGTCCCTGGGGCACCTGTCGGTCTGTCCAAGACCTCCCCCCTCTCTGCCTTGGCGGGGTGGGCCCCGGGGGCCTGAGGTCACGGAGGGCACATGCCAGCCTGGGGGGGGGTCTCCAGATCCCCACCCCGTCCCCTATGCAAGGGCTGTTCCTCTGGGGGGGGGGTTGGTTTGTTCCCTGGGGGGCACTGGTGTCATCTGTGGTGGCTCCCCAGGGGCCCTCCCGGTGGGCAGCTGCCCTGTCAGGCTCCATGGTCAGGAGGGCCAATCTTGCCTTCTCCCAGGGCGAATGGCTCTCCGGATAGAGCACAGGGTAGGGGCTCTCAGCGAAGGGCCAAAGGGAAGGCATCGCAGGGTGCCTTCGAAGGGTGGGGCCCGGCTCTGCCATCATAGGAGGCAGGGCCAGCATGTGGCTAGGCAGGGCAACCCGGGGAGCCAAGGGGAGCAGACACAGCTGGGTCATCAGCCACTCTCACTCCCGACCACGGGATGACAAGTAACCCTGTGTGGCTTCTGTTCCCCCCAGGACCGTGGCAGCCACAAACATGAACGAAACCAGCAGCCGCTCCCACGCGGTCTTCAACATCATTTTCACCCAGAAGCGCCACGATGCAGAGACCAACATCACCACGGAGAAAGTGAGTGTGGCCTTGGCAGACGGCAGCCGTCTGGGCAGGGGGCAGGGGTCAGTCCCGTCAGGCAGGACGAGGAGGCCAGGGCAACCGCCGACCCACAGGGCACGCACCGCGTCCCCCACCCTGGGCGCCAGGCCCTCACCACCACCAGCCTGTGGCTGGGCCTGCCAGGCCAGCCTATCTGGACGTTGCGCCCCACCCAACATCTACCCCAGTCCACCTCCTGCCTGGTAGTTGTGGTGGGGACAGGGGGCCCAGGAGGGCTGGCCCCAGAGCTGCACCACAGTGGGTGCTGGCAGCCCTCGAGGGCTGGGGGCCGTGGGTGGGATGAGCGCCTGTCACAAGGGGTGACCGTGGGGCCTGACCAACGGGCGGGAGTGGGGGCCCTGGCATCCATAGGCACAAAGCTGAGGCTGTGCTGGCCGGCGCCACCCTGCCTGTGGCTCCAGATGCCTTTCCTACACGTCTTGGCCTGTGTGGTGGCCCCGGACAGACACTTTGTCCAGACATGTGGTCTCTGTGCTCCCCAAGGGGCAGCCTGGCTGGCTCACAGCTTCTTCCTGTCCCTTCGTGGCTCTGTCTCTGGGTGTCAGGTTTTCTCCATGTCATCTCCCCTGACCCATGGTCCAGGCCTCCTCCTGGGGGTATCCCAGTCCCCTCCTGACTGGCAGCACCCCAGGGACTGCAGGGTGTCTGGGAGAAGTTAGCCCCACTTAGGCCCCGGCCATGCCAGGGTCACCTCAGCCTGGTACCCTCCTCCCAGAGAGTCACGATGGCCCAGTGGGGCCTGGGTGGGCAGAGTGTGGAACTGGAACAGGGTGGACTGGGCTGGGGGTCACCTGCTGTGACACCCTCCCACCCCCTGCGACACCCTCCCACCCCCTGCCACCCAGCATGGGCTCTGGGCACCAAGAGGGTCTCTGGCTGTTAAAGTCTGGGCAAGTCCTGTCTGCATCTGCAATGGCCATGGATCGGGAGGGCCTGGGTTTTTCTGGAACCCATGTGGCAGCATAGCCCAGGCCGTGGCAGTGTCGCCTCCATCCCCCCACCGCCTGGTCACTGGGCCAGCCAACTGTGCCCTTGTGAGGCAGCTGAGCCGCTGGGGCTCTGGAAGCGGATTCAGATCCCACCATAGACAATGAGCCCATCTGTGGAAACAGGTGACAGGACACCCTGGGGAGCTCTGTGGGGAATTCTGTGCCGACAGATGAAGAGTGCCCTGTGTGCTGAGAGCAGCACAGCAGCAGCAGCAGACATTTTAGGGGCCAGGGGCACACAGCCTCTCAGGGATGTGGGCTTTGACCTCAGGCAGAGCCTCGGACAAGCTGTGAAGGGAGGGAAAGTGCAGGGTCAGAGACCATCAGGCCCAGGGAAGGGCTTGGCCATGTCCCCACAGTGGCCTTGCGGCCTCTCCTGCATCTGACACAGTTGCTGTTTCAGGTGAGCAAGATCAGCCTGGTGGACCTGGCCGGGAGTGAGCGGGCCGACTCCACAGGAGCCAAGGGCACGCGTCTCAAGGTAGGGGCCGGACTGGCGTGTCTGTGACCCTGCGCCTCGCTCACCTGGCGGGCCGTGTCTTTAAGGCTGGCTTGCTCCAGGGTGGGCTGGAGGTGGTTGGGGCCACCCCCACACAGGGCGAGCCTGGGCAGGGAGAGTAGGGGGCACAGGAGGAGGTGAGAGGAGGCCAGGAGTCAGAGGGCTGCACCCGGCACACTGGCTAAGGGCCAACAAGGACAGAGACCCCAGCAGGAAAGCTGGGCCTTTCGTGGGTCCTCACAGTGACTTGGGCACCGGTGTGTGGCTTTTGCTCCAGAACACAGGCTGTGAGGCAAAGAGTCTCTTATCAAAGACGTCTTTGGTGTCCGGAAGGAGAGCCTTCATGTTCCAGCCTCACTTTGGTGCCACATTACCCAGTGGGTGGGAAGAGTCTCTGGAAATTGTACCAGCTGGGCCCCAGGGCTCGTGTGAGATGTTACGAGGACCCCCAGGAAGCCTGGAAGAAGCTGGGCAAGTGTACTCCCCTGGCCAGGGTGAGCCTCTGCCTGGCTTCTTGCCAGAGCCCCCCATGCTCCAAGGAGTCCCGGATGAACAGTCAGGGCTTGGCAGCCTTAGCCCCTTGTCTCATGGCATGAGGCCCCAGGGGATCACTCTGGAGCGAGAGGGTCCTGAGGCTTCCTGATATCCTGACTGTCTTCTCCCCACACAGGAGGGAGCCAACATCAATAAGTCCTTGACCACGCTGGGGAAGGTGATCTCTGCTCTGGCTGAAATGGTGAGCTAGCTTTGGGTTTCTAGAACTAGATGGATGGGATGGGTTATGGCTCCCTGTCCTTCATTCTGGAAAGATGCTTGTCATACCTGTGCCAAGTGCTATCTCTATCAGGGTGCCTGGGGTTCAAGGGAAATCTCGGAGATGTGAAGGGTCTGTGTCCCTAGGCTACAGATGGTGTCAAAATTTCCCCACCAGTACTGGCCATTCACCAAGACACCTAGGCTTTTGTCCAGAGAAGGAAAATTCTTACAAGGCCCCAACCTTTTTCTTAAATAGTTTGGGGTGAGGGAAGAGCTGCTGGGTGACAGCAGCCTGAGAGATTGCTCTGTTGTTTGGCCTGTCAGGACCAGGGTGGCCAGTGATGGCCAGGTGGTGAGTGATGGGCCTTTTGCAGCCTCTCACAGTGACTTGGCTCACCCAGCCGGTTCCTTTGCTCTCTGGAGCCCACTAGTCCTTCCCTCCCCATACACCCTGGGTCCCCAGCCTCACTCCAGGTCCTCAGATTCTATCTTTCTTTTCCAGGACTCTGGGCCCAATAAGGTAAGCTGCTTTCTTCAGTTCTAGGGGGAGGAGTCTTCAGCCATTGCACTGGGGCTAGAAGCAAGGAGTGCCTTTAGCCCTAGTTGTTCTGCGAAGGTCTTGGCAGTAAAAGTACCTTTTGTTTGTGCACCTAGCAGACAAACACAGTGAACCCAATTCTGAGTGAAGCTGTGTGTTAGAACAACACAGCCTTGCAGGGGCCACAGCACGATGGGGGACATAGATGATAGACATAGAAACAGAATTATGAATAGGTATAAATCTCACAAAGGAAAAAAATGGACTGTGAGCATGACCTATACACAAGGTAGCCTTTAGTCAGTATGGCCACATAAGCTTTATAGGACAGGTAGCTTTAGGGCTAAGACGTGAAGAGTGGGGAAGAGCCACCCAGGTAGAGGGGTACTCAGCTGTGCCATGTAGTTGGAAAGCCCAGTGTGGGGAGCTGAAATGGAAAAATGTTGATTTATGTAAGGAATTGCGTGGGAAGAAATGTGAGGAACCATGTGGGGAAGCATGAGGAATTATGTAAGGAAATGAGAGGAAGAGTGTGACCAACTATGTGGGGAACTGTATGAGGAAATGTATTAGGAACTGTGAGGAAACATGGGAGGAACTAAGCAAGGATCTTAAGAGGAACTAACTGTAGGAACAGTGCGAGTATTTGTAAGGAACTATGTGAATGATTTTGTGAGAAACTGTATGGGAATTATGTGTGGAATTGTGAACAGTGTGAGGAATTATGAAGTATTGTGTTAGAAACTGTGAAAACTGAGGAACTGTGAGAGGAAGTATCTGAAATGGTGTGGGACAAATGTGGGAATTGTATGAGGAATTGTAAGGAACTACGTGGGCAACTGTGAAATACTGTGCATAAGACTGTAAAGGATGTGAGGAAGTGTGAGAAATGGGTAAAATGCACATGGAACTGGAAAGGACTGTATTGTGGACCACAGAAAATTAGAATTGCGTATGGCACTCTGTGAAGAATTGTAACTGTGACAAAATGCATGTGAAAGTGTATGAAGAACTATGAGTAATTGTGTGGACTGTCTGAGGAACTGCGGAGAATGGTATGGGGAGCTAAATAGGTAACTGTGTGAGGAAACCAAGGAACTGTGTGGGAACTGTGAGGAACCATGTGAAGACTATATGAGGAACTCTGAGGGAATGTGAGAGGAAGTGTATGAGATGGTGTGGGAATTGTGTGTGGGAACTGTGAGGAACTATGGAACCATGTGGAGAACTAGGCAGGAAACATGTGAAGAATTGTGAGGAACTGTGGCGGTATAGGGAATATTTGGAATGGTGTGGGAAAATATGTGGTAATTGTGTGTGGGGGGAACCTCGAGGAACTGTGTGTGGACCTGTGAGCAACAGTGAGTGATCATGTGAGGAGCTGTGTGGGGAACTGTCTAGGGCAAGTGTGAGGTACTAGTAGGGGGAACCATGCAAGAGTTCTGGCATTGTATCAAGTATTGTGAGGAACTGTGTGGAATGTGTGAGGAACGACTGAATGGAACTGAAATGGGAGAGGAAGTATGTGAAACGGTGCGGGGAACTTTGTGAATTTGGAGGAGTTCTATGTGGAACTGTATGAAAAACTGGTGACTTATGAGAGGAATTGTGAAGGATTATGTGAGGAAGTGTATAGAGAGAACTGTGTGGAATTTTATGAGGAACTCAATGAGGAACCTGTGGGAACTGTGAGGAACTATGAGATAAACTGTGTGGCAAACTGAGGTACTAGGAGGAACTGCGAAGAAATGTATCAAGAACTGTGAGAAAATGAGAGGAACTCTTTGAGGACCAAAAAAACTGTGTGGAAAGAGTATGAGGCAACTTTCTGCGGAAGTGTGTGAAGAAGTGTGTAGGGAACTGTGTAAGATTGTGTGGAACTGTGAGAGGAAGTGTGTGAAACTGTATGAGGGAACTGTGGTGAACTGTATGTGGCTGTGAGGAACTGAGTGGGAAACTATGAAGAAACTATGTGGGGGAACTGTATGGGGAGCAGTTTGAGGAACTGTGAGGAATAGTTTGAGGAAATACATGAGGAACTGCATGACTCTGAGGATTTCCATGAAGAATTATAGGAACTGTGGGAGAAACTATGTGAGGAATTGTGAGAGGAACTCTGTGTAAAGAATCGTGAGGCACTTTGCAGAACTGTAACAAGTGTGTGAAACTATGTGGGTGGACTGTGTGGGAATTGTGTGACTGACTTTTGAGGAAATTTTTGGAGAACTGTGACGAACTCTGGACTGATGGGGGGAAATTTGTGGCGAAGTATGAGGAACTGGGTAGAACTGTGTGGGGAACTATGTGGAGAATTGTGAGGAAACATATGTGAACCCTGTGAGAAACTGTGGAACTGTGAGAGGAAGTATGTGAAATGGTGTGGGGAAGTATGGGGGTTGTGAGGGAACTATATGGAAAACTATGTGAGGGACAGTGCGCAGTCCCTCACACAGTTCTTCTCAGTTACTTACAGAGTTCCCCACACAGTCTCAGTGCAGTTCTTCACACTGTTCCTGGCACAGTTATACACACACACTTCCCACATAGTGGGAAAAGGAATGTGAGGAACTGTGAGAAACTTTCTGGGGAAATGCATGCAGAACTGTGTAATGGACTATGTCAGGGATTTGTGTGGAAAAGTGTAAGAAACTTTGAGGGAATCTGTGTGAAAGTGTGTGGAAAATTGTGTAGGATCTGTGTGAAAATATGTGTGTGGAACTGTATGTGGCACTGTGTGGACTGTTGGTAATTGTGAAGAACGGTATGAACTATGAGAAAGTGTGTGGAACTGGGTGAGAAACTGTGAAGAATAGTGAGGAACTGTATGTGGACTTTGTGGAACTGTGAGAGGAAAAAATTGTGTGGGGGAGCTGAGTGAGGAACTGAGAGGATCTGAGATGAAAACCATGTAAAGCACCAGGTGACTCCTGTAGAGAACTGTGAGGAATTGTGAGGAACTGTAAGGAAATAGATGTAGACTTTATGAAGAATTGTGAGGAACTCTGTGTGCACTGCGTAAGGAAACATGTGGAATGCTGTGGGGAAACTGAGGAACTGAGAAGAATTGTGTGAAGAACCGTTTGAAGAACTGTGTGGGAAGTATGCATGGAACTGTGTTAGGGGTGGTGTGAAGGATTATGTCAGGAACTAAGAGGAATTATGTGAGGATCTGAGAGGAACTATATGAGGAACCGTGTAAGGAACTGTGAGAAAAGCTGTTTGAGAAACCATGTGGAACTGTATATAGAGTTGTGCAGTACTGTGGAATTGGAAGAATTGTGAGGAACTGTGTGAGGAATTGTGTAAAGTCTGTGTGAGGAAATGTGGGGCAAGTGTGAGAAACTAGATGAGGAACTGAGGAACTGTTGGGAACTATATGAATTGTGAGAAACTATGTGGAACTGTGAGAGGAAGAATGCAAAATGGTGTGGGGATAGTGTGAAAGTGCTGAGGACGTTTTCAGGAATCATGAGGGATTGTGGGATTATGGGTGGAAGTGTCAGGAGCTGCCTCGGGACCGTGTAGGGAACTCTTTAAAAAACAGAATTATGTGAGGGACTTTGGCGGGTATCTATGTTAGGAGCTGTGAGAAGCCCTTTGGGGAAATGTGTGAAGAACTGTGAAAGACTGTGTCAGGGACTGTAAGGAATAGTGTGGAACTATGCAAGGAACTCAGAGATCTTTGTGAGGATCTAGGTGGAACTATGCAAAGAACAATATAAGGAACCGAGAGAGAGGAACTGTGTCATGAACTGTGGGAGGCATTGTGTGACAAATGGTGCAGAATTGTGTGATGGACCTGAAACTGTGTAGGGTGCTGTGGGGAACCGTGTGAGGAAAGAAGGGACTGTGAGAGAACATGTGAGGCACTGTGGGAACTGCGTGCTGTGGGAACTGCGTGAAGTGCTGTGGGAGGGGTTGCGTAGAAACTTCCTCAGGATTGAGTGTGAAAGGTTTTGAGTCTCAGGGCCTGGAGCAGGGAGCATGGAGGAACATGAGGCCAGAGAAGGGCAGGGGCCTGATCCGTTGTCAGGAACCAACTGACTGTGGTTGGATGGGGAGCAGCGGAGGGGTTTCCAGCACAACTCACAGTCTGATCTAATCTGGCATGTGCTGCTCAGGCTGTTGCCTGGAGAATGACTGGGGAGCCGGGTGGCCTGGTGTGGCGGTCAGGAGAATGGAAGTCAGTGTCGCAAAAATCCGGGTGTGAAGTGACGGAGGCTGGGAAGGCAGAGGAGAAGGGAGAGCAGCAGCTAGTTCTGGGAGGGGCAGGAGCATGACTGAACAACTGCTGATGGTGGATGGACAGAGCGGTGGAAATGAAGGTGACTCCTGGTCATCGCGGAAGGGACCGCGTGAAGGGAAACGAGGACTATGACAGATGTGGCAGAGGATTGAGCCTCCGGAATGAAGTAATCCAAAGGTCACATAGAAGCACAGTTTTCACCCACCAAGTCTCAATGGAGAGAAAAAGGCCATCAGTCCTGAGGAGCTGTGAGGAGAGGGACACTCAAGCCCCACCGACAGCGAAGCCAGCGCAGGATTTCGGGAAGCCATCCTGACCTCGTGTCTCAGGAGCTTTCACAAGTTATGTTCTCTGAGAGCCAAGGGAGTGCCCATCGGAAATCATCCTAAGGAACAATGATGGAAGAGCTTCTGCCCAGAGAAGTGACTCAGCCCTCATGGAAGCCCCTGTGTGCATCGCCCCAGGTGGGGAGTCTGGGGGGCAGGCGCCATGTCTGCTGCCCCTGTGGGTGCTCAACAAATACTTTTAAGCAACTGTCTACAAGAACTAGGTGACACTGGAAGCTGAGTATCCATGATCAGTGGACTCCTTCAGTCAGTCCATTAGTCGTGTCTGTAAGGAGCAATGGTTCCTAGCAGCCAGCAGAGGCTGCTTCATCCTGAGGGGAGGGGTGGGGGAGCAGGTTCTAAGGAAGGGGTCTGTGCCTGGACTGCAGGGGAGGGAAGGTGAGTTCCATGTGGAGAGAGAGAGGTGAGGTGGGACCTTTTCTTTTTAGTCAGCAGAACCAACAGTGCTGCTTGAGGAGGGGGCGATGGGCTCAGGTCCATTCTTCTGACAGAGTGGAGGGAAGGCAATGGCTCTGTCCGCCTGTGTGGCCCAGACGTGCAACGGGATGGGCTAGGGAGAACCTGAGGGGATGGGACAGCAAGTCTGGTTCTGGCCCTGAGTGTGGGCGGCTGGGGGTAGCACCGTATGGGGCAGGTGGGGAGAGGCCTTGAGGACTGGCCTAGCCCCGCCCTCCACAGCAGCCTTTGGCTTTGGGGACCCATGCCACAGACCCTTGGCTTTGCCCTCTCCATCTCCCTTCCCCTCCAGCGGGCTCAGGATTGACCTGGAATGTTCTTCCCCCACAGAACAAGAAAAAGAAGAAGACAGATTTCATTCCATACAGAGATTCTGTGCTGACCTGGCTCCTCCGAGAAAACCTGGGTGAGGACTCTTCGGGTTCACCTGTCCCTAGGGTTCTAACTTCTGCCCTGAGCCATTGTCCTGCCTTCCCTCCCAAGAAGGGGTGTCTGACCAGCAGGAGGCCTCTCACTCTTTCTGGGCCTAGGCTGAGGCAAACCTGGGGGATCCTTCTGGAGGGCCAGGGCTGGTGGCCAGCAAAGGGCTAATGAGAGCAAGTGCGGGGAAGCAGGATGGCCCATAGGGCCACAGAACACATACACCTATGTTGGGGCTCCTGCTTCAAGCCTGTGACACCCAGACCAAGTGCTACTCCTTGCTGGGACTCAGTGATTCCGGGAGCCCTGCTTGCTTGCTGGGTTTTTGGTTGGTGGCATCTGTCACCCTGTCTCCCTGAGTTCTGAGCCCCTAAGACACAGATAGGGATATGGAGCCTGAAGGATCCCAATACTGATCCCTTTCCTCCCAAGAATAACTTCGGGGGTCCTCCCTGGCTATGTTCACAGATTGGGAGGCTGACGCCCAGGAAGGTAAACTGAGTCTTGGGATGACCTGGTGAGCGTAAGGCAGACCAGGTGGGCCCCATAGCCTTCCTCAGCTTTGTGGCCACGGTATAGGAGCCCCAGCTGGCTGACTCAGCACCCCAGAACCAGCCTGGCTGATCTCTGCTCAGGCTAGTGACAGGTGCCATGTCAGGCCTCCTGAAGGCTCCTGGGGCCCCCCTGAGGGTGGATGGGAGTGTCTTAGGAATGTGGTCCTTCACTGGGGACGTGGACCGGATAGACGCTTCTGCCAAGAGCCACAACCAGACCCAGCTCCAGGGTAGGGCAGGGGGAACACCCCGTGTAGTTCAGTCTGGCACCTGGTGTGGCATTGCACCCCAAGCCCTTCACACTGTCTCCTCGCAGTTCGTGTGGGGGCCACACCCTGGGAACATGGCTCCTAGGACACACGTCCCTGAGGGGTGCCCTGGCTGCTGACCAGCCCGCAGCCCCTGCCCAGGGCTCCCCATATTCTGAGCCTTCGAGTGATCCATCAACCTTAGAGCTGAAGCTGAAATGTCCATTTCCTCATGCAGTGCGCTACCGGACACCAGGCTCCGTGCCGCCCTGGGCCAGGACTTGGACATGAAATATTTAAAAAAATATTCCGAACGAGGAAGATAAAAATGAAAGAAATCGTTGCATCTTGAATTGAAATGAATGTTAAATTTCTAAAGAAATTTTCCCGACATTGCAGGAAATGCCGTAAAGTCGGCCCCAGTCCCCTCTCATTATGGGGAGGGGGCCTGGCTGTTGTGAAGTAGCCACAAATGTGAGGAAAACACACTCTAGGAGAAAAATGACTGGGCTCCCCTCTGCAGTGGTGCAGGCCAGGTCCACTGTGTGAACAGGGTTTACCCGTCTGGGCCTTGGCTTCCTCAGCTGCAAAGGTAGGAGCGGACGGGGGAGAGAGGCCCCCTCACAACCTGGCCTTCTTTCCACAGGCGGGAACTCGAGGACGGCGATGGTCGCGGCCTTGAGCCCCGCAGACATCAACTACGACGAGACCCTGAGCACGCTGAGGTGTGTTCTGGAGTGAAGGGACCCGGCCTGGCTCCAGGAGGGCATGGATCCCTCTCTCTCTGAGTCAGAGGCACCACTTTGGGGGGTCACCTCATCTGGGGCTCCTTGAGGCTCCAGTGGCTGCTGGGTCTTCATGGGCCCATTCCCTTCCCACCACCCGTGGGTCCGAGGGCCCAGGACCAGGTACCAAACCAGGTCTTTAAGGAGCAAAGGCGCAAAGGTGTGTTCCAAGGGTCCCTCTGGCAGCAGGGCGGGCAGCTTGGGCGCTGGCCCTGAAGGAGGCTGCTCGGCTGACTGGGTCACATGCCACCAACTGTAAAAGGATGAAGGGGTGTGGGTCCCTATGTAGGTACTTGCACACATTGATGACACTTAGGAGTGCAAAACACACACACACGTGGGCGTCGTCACATTCCCCCAGCTGTCAGACTTGCCCCCTCTGCTCCGGGGAGAACAGGTCCAGGTGTGAAGGCTCCGCCTCACAGAGAGGTACCCCCCCCATCCCTGCTCCTCCTGGTGACTCAGTCCTCCCAAATGTGGGGCAGGGCTAGGTGACCCCCCTCTAGGGCTCTGGCCAATGGCCCCACTGGCTCCAGGTGGGGTGACCTGCTCTGTGTCCGGCCCCTGGGCCCCAGCTGCTGAGGTCCTCCCCACCGTGGCTCTGCCCTGGGCAGGGCTCTGGGCCCCCTTGGGCCTGTTGGCACAGCCCACAGCTCCCTTGGCCGTCCAGGTATGCCGACCGGGCCAAACAGATCCGCTGTAACGCCGTCATCAACGAGGACCCGAACAACAAGCTGATCCGTGAGCTGAAGGACGAGGTGACGCGGCTGCGGGACCTGCTGTACGCCCAGGGTCTCGGGGACATCACCGACAGTGAGTGTCCGGGCCACCTGTCCTAGGCGGGGCAGGCAGGCCGGGGTGGCCTCCCTCCTCAGGACAGCCACCCGTTGGCTGGCTGGGGCCAGTCCGGCTGCCCTCATGGCATGGACCTGAATCCCAGTCCAGCTCTGAGTCCCTGGGCAAGCCACCTCGGGGGGAGGCTGCGGTTTTGGCCTCGGCCGGGGTGGACAGCATGGTTTGGGTCTGGTGCTGGCCCAAGCAGGCCGCAGACGGTTTCCCTGGAAGCCACGTTGGCGTACTGGGGGTGCTGGGGAGGCCGCGGTCCCTGGGTGTCCGCTGAAGACCCCTGCCTCCCAGCCTGGTGCCTGGCCTGTGATGGGTGGGCCTCAGGCCCTCTGGAGACAAACCTGTTCTTCTGTTTCTCTGTCTTTCCTCCCTCCCCCACGCCTCCCCTCCCCGTAGCCAACACTGTGCCCGGAGGACCCAAATGTGTGTATCCCCCTTGCTGCTCCCTGTTTCCCTGCTTCTGTCCCTGCTCCGCGGGGTGTAGGGCAGCACGGCGGGGAGGCAGCTGCCCAGCCCTCCTCTGCCATTCCCCCTTTCAGGGGCTGGGCAATAGGTGTCTTGGTAGATGCGAGCACCCTGCCTGGTGCACCTAGGCTCCTGGCTCAGCCCATGTCTGTATGGAAAACCGAGGCCACAGGGAGGCCTAAGTGGCTGAGCCCAGCCTGTCCTCCCAGAGGCCTGGGAAACTCAGCCTGGTAGCTAGTGCCTGAGGGCGGAGAGCCCTGGGGGGCCTCAGGAGGCCAGGTCTGCCCCCTGGCTCCCAGCTCCAGACTCCCTCGGGCCCCCCATACCACAAAGCCCCTTCCCATGGAAGTGCCAAATGAGAATGCTGCCAGGGCCTCCCAGCCTGTGTCCCTTTGGCCTTGGGTCTGGTTCCCTGTGGCATGGGCCTGCGGTTTGGGGCCTCCCTGACCCAGGGGCACAGGACACCTTCGTTCTCCCTAGCGCCCCGTGCTGTCCTACATTTGCCGCTGCTCTGCTGCGTGCCTGCTTCTGCTGGGGGGGGTTGTCCTAACCCCAAGTCCTAGGTCTTGGGGGGGCATGGAACCCTGGGGCAGCCAGAGCAGGCTTTCCAGGGTGGAGGAGCAGGGGCCCTTTCAGAGTCCCACAGTGCACCTCTCCTCCAAGGTGTCCTTGGGGCCAATCCCTGTGCTCAGTGGGGCCAGACAGCTAGCGCAGCATGGTCCCTGAAGCTCAGGGCCACATGGCGGGCCAGGCAGGTGATGGCTATGGGGGGGGCGTCCATGGCAGAGAGGATGAGGCCAAGTGTCAGGGCCCTGGGTGCAGGAGGGCCACAGGGCAGCGACAGCCAAGGGAAGGAGACCTGGTGGAGGTGCAGAGACTGCTGGAAGGCCACCGGTCTGGGCAGGATGGGGAGGTAGAGAGGAGCTCGAGGGGGTGCCCTGCTGCCGCCGGGGTGTTGGGAGGGCTCTGGGGGCTGGGTCCTCCGGCGGGGAGGCGACGGCAGCCCCGCATGTGCTTGTCCGGCGCTGGGCCCCCAGCTGCACCTGCTGCTGCTTTCTGTTTCCTGCCTCTCTTCACCCACCTCTGGCTTTTTCCCAACTTGGTCTTTCTTTTCTCTCCCTCCCACATGTCTGCCCGCCCTCCCCTCCCCTTCCTCCCGTAGACATGTCCGACCTTGAGAACAATAACCGTAACCGTGGCGGGGCGGAGTTGAGTCCAGCCCCTGACAATCTCTCCACAGTGACCAACGCCCTGGTGGGCATGAGCCCCTCGTCCTCGCTTTCGGCCCTGTCCAGCCGTGCCGCCTCCGTGTCCAGCCTGCACGAGCGCATCTTGTTTGCCCCGGGCAGTGAGGAGGCCATCGAGAGGCTGAAGGTGAGGGCGTGGCCAGTGGGGGTGGGGAGGGGGCAGTGTTCCTTCCTGAGGGGCCTGGGATCCCGGAAGGGGTGTGCTGACAGCGCCGGGTAGGCTTGCCTGGAGGCACAGTGGGCTGTGCCGGCGGGAGCAGAGCGCATGTGGGTCTGCCATCCAGCACCAAGAGGCTGCATGTGCTGAGAAGGGCAGATGGGTCCCAGGGGCGTCTGTGCTCCCTCCCTGTGCTCTGTGCTCACACCTGTGGCCCTGCGGGCGGCCGGCTGGCTTTTAGTCAAGGGGCTTGTCATTCCTTTAGTAAATGACTGCGGGGTGCTGGGCTGTACGGGGCTGGGGCTGACTTAGCAGGCAGACACACAGAGGCTGGACTGTGGCTTGGTGGGGGGTACCGGGTGTGTGGGGGACCCTGGGGTGCAGGACCCACTGGGGTGTGGGGCTGGGAAGGAAGCCAGGAGCTGGGGCTGATGTTGGAAGTGCTTGTTGTCTGCGTCCCGGCAGTGGCCAAGGGACATCTGTGCCTCAGAACCAGTCTCAGTGTCCCATGTGTCTCTCTGTGTCTCTGAGTGTCTCTCAGTGTCCCACATGTCTGTCAGTGTCCTGTGTGTCTCTCTGTGTCCCCGCATGTCTCTCAATGTCCTGTGTGTCTCTCTGTGGCCCCACGTGTGTCTCAGTGTCCTACATGTTTCTCAGGGTCCTTACATGTATATGTGTTTCTTTTTCTCCAGGTTTATTTTGCCTTTTTTCTTTATTGTCTGGCTGTGTCCACAAAGAGACTTGTGTCTGTGGATACATTAGTCCTTCAGCCCTTGACATTTCAGGCATTGTGCTGGCTAGACAGACCTGGGAATTGGGGCCCCGGTGCCCTGCAGACCTTTGCCTGGCAGCCGGGCCTCTGTCTGCTCCCACCCCAGACCCCCAGCCTCACTCTGCTCTGTCCCACTGCCCAGGAGACGGAGAAGATCATCGCCGAGCTCAATGAGACATGGGAGGAGAAGCTGCGGCGCACGGAAGCCATCCGGATGGAGAGGTGGGCAGTGGGGAAACTGAGGACTCCAGCACCCTAGCCCTGGGCTCCTACTCCTGGGGGTGGCTGTGTCCCAGCGGGGCACAGGCTCATGTCCTCTCACCAGAGACTCCCCCTGACGCCCCCATCGCTGATGGTCCCATTGACCTGATCCCTGGTCAGGTGACAGTTTTCTCCAGGTGATCATGGACCAATGGGGTGCCCCTGGGCCAAAGGGCCAGAGCCTCACCAGCTCCTGCTCAGCTGATGGGTCAGTTGGGAGTGAGGAACCTGCAGCCTCGAGGCTCAGGCTGACCCAGACACTGTACCTTCAGGGAAGCCCTGCTGGCCGAGATGGGCGTGGCCATGAGGGAGGACGGCGGTACCCTGGGGGTGTTCTCTCCCAAAAAGGTAAGTGCTGGTTCTAGTTCAGGTGTGCGGTCCTAACTCGGACAGGCGAGGGTTGGGACCCACCCCCGCTCAGCCCAGGAGGGTGCCGCTGGAAGGATGGAGGGTGCAGACCTGCCAGAGCCTGTGCTAGCCAGGACGGTGGGCAGCACTGCCCTCTTGGAGCTCAGCCAGAGTGGGGTCTGGCTGTCCCAGCTAGGACTCTTCCTCTCCCATCCCAGCTCACTCTGCAGACCTGGTGCTGTCAGTGGGGCCTCACATGGAGCCGAGAGCCAACCCCTTTGGCAGTTCAGATGGCTGTAGCATGAGCATTTGGGGAAAAGTCTCTTTGATAATTCTAGGACCCAGGACCCCCATTCCCCCAAAGAGTGCCAGACCCTTAGACCTCTTAGGAGCCAAGTTTCAAGCTGGGAAGCCTCCAAGGAGGTGGTGATAGCCTACTCTGACCGTAGCTCGACTCTCTGGGCCTGCCTGCCCTAGAGCAGCTTTGTTGTGGCTGGCTTTCCCCCCAGGTGTTGTTTGGGACAGAGGGCTTGTGTGTTGCCAGGACCTGAAGCCAGAGGCATGTGGAGTGCCCTCCGTGCTGCTGGAGACACCGTGGGGAGGGAAGTGCGCGTGCTGGGTGATACATTCATCAGCCCGGTAGCCACTCCCTGGGTGCGGGGCTGGGCTCCTTAGGCTGCTTCTGCCCTGTGAGCTCCAGGCCGTGGAGCTAAGGCCCGGGGACAGTAGGGGGCCGTGTGGGCAGGCTCTGCACTTGGGGCAGGCTGGGGGACAGGTGATAGGCTGCTTCATAGCCCTTGGGGATTGGCCTGTAGTTTTCACTTGGGATGGACTGTTCCTGGGCTCTCAGCCCCTGCCCCTTCCTGGAGGGTGTACCCCAGGGCTGGTGTACAGAGCTGTTGGGGCACGTGGCCTCGGGACATCTGCACCCTGGAGGCTTGCTGTTGGTGGCAGAGGCAATAGTATTCCCTCTTGGGTCGGTTGGCCCTGGTCTGGGCACTGCCCTGGGGGCATCTGAGGATACCTCTTCCTTAGAGGACGTTCTTGGGACTCTGGCGAGCACAGCTCTCGTTGCTTAGGAGAAGGGGTGGCTGGGATGGTTGTCCCCAGTGTCCGATAACATGGGGACGGTCACAGTCCTGCAGACTGGTGGTGGGGCACTGGGGGACTTGGAGCTTGGTGTGGAGGCTGCTTATTCTAAGGTGCCCAATGGGAAGCCAAGAAAGCTGTCCTAGCTTCCACTGGGTTGCAGGACCCCGGCCTGGGACACGGTGTGGGGTGGCATTCCTGAGTTCAGGAAGTGTGTCTAGGGCCCCAGTGGGTGAAGCCTGTGGGGTTGCCCAGGAAGGGGCAGGTGACTGAGGGCAGTGCTCAGACAGGTTGGTCATCTTGGGTACACCATGGATGAGAGGGGGCCTGAGCTGGAGGGCTGGCGGATGGGAGGGGGCTGAGCTGGGGGGCCTGAAGGGACTTCTTTCATAGCCTCTGCTCCTCGGCCTGCAGGTCAGATCCCTCCCCAGCAGCACCCTAATCCTTCTGGACTCACAGATCACTGGGGCTCTCAGCTCCTGGGTGCTTCAGTTTGAATGGAGTCCCATAGCTCCCTTTAGGGTGGAGGAGCAGACCCAGAGCCTGATGCCTTGGTCCCTGCGGGACCCAGCATGCACCCTACAGACCCAAGGGCCCCCCACAGCCCCCAGCACCTCCCTGGGCTCCCAACTCCCCCTGAGTGCCTCTCACGTAGGTTCTGAGCTCCCCGGGCCCCTCCTCAGGGAAGCCAGGCTAGGAGGACACTGTGTCCCCATGAGGCAACTTCGGGCTGGTGATGGTCTGGCCCCCGAGGAGAGAGAGGTCAGGTGGGTGTTCAGTGCTGGGCCCCCATGCCTCCCCAGGAGAGGTAACCGGGCTCCTCTCTCCCCAGACACCACATCTGGTCAACTTGAACGAGGACCCACTGATGTCTGAGTGCCTCTTGTACTACATCAAGGACGGGATAACCAGGTGGGGCTCGCGGGGCTCAGGCTTCCCCCACAGAGGGGCTGCCGAACCTGGTGTCTTCTGGAACGCTACTGTCTGCCCACCCTAACAAGCATGGACACAAGGCTGGGGCCACTCTGTGCCACGGGGCTCTCCAGGCCGGGCTGTGTCTGGGGCGTCCCCTGTGGCCTGCTCGCATGCACCCTGGGCATTTCCCGACAGAGTCCAGCCAGGCTCCCCTGTGGAGGGGCAGGGGTGGGCCCGGGGGTGGCTGCCTGGATGCACTGGGTCTGGCCAGTGCTGACTGCGCCCCCCTCCTCTGTAGAGTGGGCCGTGAGGATGCAGAGAGACGGCAGGACATTGTCCTGAGTGGGCATTTCATCAAGGAGGAGCATTGCATCTTCCGGAGCGATTCCCGAGGGGGCAGTGAAGGTATCTCAGCCCTGGGGAAGTGGCTCCAGGGAACTGGGGCTCTGAGTGCTGGGCTGTAGACCCAGAAGCCCCCTCCCTGCCCCCAGAGTGGGCTGGGGGTCTCCCTGGGCAGGAGGATAGTAAGCTGTGGGAATGAGCCTAGATCTAGTGTGGAGAGCTACTTCTAGACCCCACTTTCCTGTTGGGCTTGGAGCTGCCGTCTGTCCACTACCCAGCTGGCCTGCCCACCTCTGTCCCCACTGCCTGTCTTGGACATGATCCTCTTGGGGAGGCCCCTGCTATGTCCCTGTGCCATCACAGGCCCCACGCTCCCCCAGCACCAGGTGTGCTCCCTGACAAGCCTCTGGCCCGCAGCCAACTGTGACAAGGACACTTCAGGGTCACTGCCTTAATCAGTGTTGGGGACATTGGCTCTCCCAGAATGCTGTCCCCAAAGCTTGCCCTCCTCTGGGTGGGTGGACTCTAAGCTCCAGGGGGCTCTGGGACTCCTGGGGACAGGCCAGCCACTGTCTCCCATCCATGCCCACCTGGAGACCCTGATGGTTCTCTGACTTGGGCACACACGCCCCCTCCATCGGGCGTCTCCTTCCTCGTCTGTGTGGGAGGTGCGGCCCTCCTGTGGGGCCCAAACAAGGTATTGTCTGCCAGCTGTTGGGCTTTGCAGCTAGCAGGGAGGGGACAGGCCTGATGGGGGCCGCACCTGGGTGGTTGGGTGAGCCGAGCCGTGCATGTGGTCAGAGAGGGCACAACCACCTGGAATGACAGTCCCTCACAGTCCTCCTCTTAGCCTTCCCCTGTCTGTCCTATAGCCGTGGTGACCCTGGAGCCCTGTGAGGGTGCAGACACTTATGTCAATGGCAAGAAAGTCACGGAGCCCAGTATCCTGCGGTCAGGTATGGCTATGCTGCTGACCTAGTGAACACATCTATTCTAGGGGGCCCTGGGCATACACAGGCTGGCTCCTGTCATGCTCCAGCAGCTGGGGAGGCAGGTGGGCAGGGAAGGACCCTCGAACCCACGCTGCAGGAGGGGCCTGAGCACAGCCCCCGGGGGTGGAGGAATGTCCACTGACAGGGCACGGGGTCAGGATGGCCAGGGCAGTGGCCCCTATCAGGTAGGGAAAGGACTGTCTGCTGGAAAAGTGCCAGGACTGTTTAGCAGACATCGCTGGCTGCTGTATGGGGAGGCACAGAGGACGTGGATTTGGGGAGACAGCGAGGTCTTGGGCCACGGGGCAGGTGGCTGGTGGGTCCAGAGTGGGGACCTGGGGTGGCTCCCGGCAGCGCCCTGGGGTGGGCCAGCCGGAGGAAGCGCGTGTGTCCCGCTATCCCCTCCTCCTCCCTGCCCCCATCCCTGGAAGCCACCCCCAGGGCACAGCCCCCCGCCCCATTGCCAACCTGGCTTCTGTCCCCCAGGAAACCGCATCATCATGGGAAAGAGCCACGTGTTCCGGTTCAACCACCCTGAGCAGGCAAGGCAGGAGCGGGAGCGCACGCCCTGTGCGGAGACGCCCGCCGAGCCAGTGGACTGGGCCTTCGCGCAGCGAGAGCTGCTAGAGAAGCAGGGCATTGACATGAAGCAGGAGATGGAGCAGAGGTGAGGCCCAGGCCAGGGTCCCTGTGCCCATCCTGCCGCTCATCCCCCTGTACGCGCTCACCCCAGCCCGCTCTTGCAGACTCCAGGAGCTAGAGGACCAGTACCGCCGGGAGCGGGAGGAGGCCACGTACCTGCTAGAGCAGCAGAGGCTGGTGAGGGCGGCCGCTGGGCCCTGGGCCAGGGGCAGGGTGGGGAGCCGGGGTCCCCGCTCAGCCAGCCGTCATTGTGGTGCAGGCCCTGGGGCCCACAGAGGGAGGCCCAGGCGGGAGGGCGGGGACGGGGTCCGGTCCCCACGTGGGTCCACAGGGCTTCTCCCGTGGCCAGGACTACGAGAGCAAGCTGGAGGCCCTGCAGAGGCAGATGGACTCCAGGTACTACCCCGAGGTGAACGAGGAGGAGGAGGAGCCCGAGGATGAAGGTGAGAGGCTCTCAGTGGATGGGGCGTGGGCCTTGGGCTGGGGAGGGGTCTCGGACAAGAGGAGCCCCCACGCTGCTCCACACCTTCGCCCTGGGGCCCCTGGCCCAACCTGAGGAGAGGCCTCCTTGTCGCTGGGAGGTGCCCATGGCAGCAGGATTGGGGAGCAGGGGCTGGGCTGCGGCAGGGAGGCAGCTGGGCCTTGGCACTCAGGCCAGTCTCGGTGGGAACAGCCTGTGGTGGGGAGGTGGTGCGGGCAGGGTGCGGCTTCTGCTCTCCCATCCTGTCGGCTCGAGGCTGGTGCTCTTATCCGGGACCCAGTTGCTGCTCCTCACCTCAGGACCCCCTTTCTGAGCGTTAACTCTGGTGGCCCACCTGCTGACCTCAGCCGCTGTGGGCATGAGGGGGGCCACCGGCGGGGCAGAAGGGGCAGAAAAAGACCCGGGGTTCATGTCCAGCTTGGCCCGCGGTCAGCTGGTCAGTACCTTTGTGCAGAGGTGACCTTGGCATGCCCTTGTGTGGAGCCATTTATCCGATGAGGCTTCTTCCCTCGGGGCAGGGGCCCTGGGTAAGAGGGGCCGAGCCTGGGAGCCCAGATAGGCCCATCCCGGTGTCCCCGCGTCCTTCCTCCTGTGGGCCTGGGGGGTAGAAACATGTGAGCTGGGACAGGGCATGAGGCTGAGCCCCGGTTAGCCCTCCTGCCATCCTCCCACGGGCACCTGCCCCTGCCAGGGGCCCCCCATGTCTGTAAGGGCGCTGCCACGGCCCTCTCTGAGCTTGACGGCCTCTCCGAGTGCTCTGGCTCTGGGGCCCATTGGGCCTTTCAGGCCATTCCCTGGGGCAGACCTTCCCACCGGTTTCCTTCTTTCTGAGCGCTGGGAACAGTCAGTGTGACACTGGGGGTCCAGACACAGAACCCTGGGTTGTGGCCAGAGTAGGGTGTTGTGGCCTTTCTGCAACGATTGCCCACACCTCTCCCCACAGTCCAGTGGACTGAGAGAGAATGTGAGCTGGCGCTTTGGGCTTTCCGCAAGTGGAAGTGGTACCAGTTCACGTCACTTCGGGACCTGCTGTGGGGCAACGCCATCTTCCTCAAGGAGGCCAATGCCATCAGTGTTGAGCTCAAGAAGAAGGTGGGCTCCTGCCCCACTGCCCACTCGCTGTGGCCACACGCACACAGGGGGGACCCAGTGCTGGGCATCCCTGCCCCCTGGGGGAGGGTACAGCTCCCACCCCTGACCTGGGGACCTGAGAGCGGCGGGGGGGGCACAGCAGGGAGAGGGAGGCCCAGGGACAGACCCGGGCGGGTGTGTGGCCTCAGGCTCAGGGAGCACTGAGGAGCAGGAGCAGCTTTCTCTCCGGCTGCTGTTCAGAAGGCTCCAGTGCAGCCTAGAGGTGGGAAGGAAGCGCTCTGGGGCCTGGCCTCCATCCACTGAAGGGCTGACGTCCGCCATCCTCCCCTCTGCTGCAGGTCCAGTTCCAATTCGTCCTCCTCACGGACACTCTCTACTCCCCGCTGCCACCGGATCTGCTGCCTCCGGAGGCCGCCAAAGACCGGGAGACTCGCCCCTTCCCCCGCACCATTGTGGCCGTGGAGGTCCAGGACCAGAAGAATGGGGCCACCCACTACTGGACGCTGGAGAAGCTCAGGTGTGGGGGGGGGCACACCCTCCGAGCTCCTATGTCGAGGGGGATGTTTCTCCTGCTGCAATGGCTTTTACAATCTGAAGGAAAAGTGTGGTTATAGAAGCTGCATTCTCCCTTTGCCGACGCAGTGGTGAGGTTCAGTGGGCTTTCATGGAGGAAACAGGGGATGAGGCTCACGGTGCTGCAGTGCGGGCCCCGAGAGGTGGGTGGGGAGTCTCCAGAGCCAAGCTGGGCTCTCAGAAGAGCTCAGCAGGGTGCTTCTCCACCTCAGGACCCAAGGGATCCCAGGCAGGATAGCAGAGGGGCTCAGAGGGACCTGGAGGGGTCGGACGGGGGGGTGCAGCTGTCACTGTGAGAGGCGTCTTTCACAGCCCCATCTCCATGCTCCCCATGTGCTCGCCGTAATGTGCGACTCGATCTGGAGAGAGACTGAGCGAGACAGAGGTCGATGCTATCAGAGGAAAGTCTGATGCTACTGTGGTCCCCTGGGTGTGGGGGCTCTGCACAGAGGCAGGGGCCATGCCGGTGGGAGGGCTCCGGGCGTCAGGAGGGAGAAGGAGCAGAGTTGGGCGAGGCCTCAGCGGGCAGGGCCATCCACGGGAACTGGCCACTTGGAGATATCCTGGTGGGGTCTGGGCACAGGGCTGCCCAGGCTGCCATGTGCCTGACTGTCGGGAGATTTCGGGCAAGGGTGCTGCTCTGGTGTGTGAGCGGGGTAAGGGCGGGTGGGTTGGTTTGTGTGTGACAGGTTGGCTCACCCATGTGTTGTTCGCGGGCTGACCCAACTGGCAGGCCCCAGGGATATCACGACGTCGTCAGCTACGGAGAACAGAAGATGTCATTAATCCATGCTCTCAGTCCTCCCCAGACCCAACCACACGCACCCCTCCACACTCACACTCGCACACCTTCCTCTGGTATGGCTTGTTCACATGCGGACACACGCAGGGACATGTGCTCCCCTGACTTGTGCGAGCCAGGGCCCATGCTCATGGCCCCTTCCCACCGTCCTTGGGGCCATGCTGGGACTCGCGTGAGGACGAGCACCACGTTCCTGTCACTCCCGAGTTCTAGGGGGAAATGACTGCATTCTCTTTCTTCTACAGTGTGTTGGTTTTTCTGGGGATAATCATTTTAAAAATATTTTCTATGACTATATCCGATCACCAATCTGCCCTTCGTTCCCTTGGGTTCTAAGGGCCTGGCGACATGATCCCCCACCCCAAGCTGCCCTACCTGGGCTTTGGCAGGCCTTCTCGGTCCCCTTGCCTCCCATTCCAGGCCCGGTCTGACTACTCACATTGCCTCGCTGTCCCTGGGTCAGCGTCGAGGCCATTTAGTGGTGCCTCGCGTGCTCACTTGGAATTTGCTCACGGTTGACTGAGTTTGAGGAGTGAGGAGGCTCTGTCACCAAATCACACTGAGCCTCGAGCTGTGGCCAGAGCTGGGCGGAGCCTGCTGGCCCAGCGGGAGGCATGGCCTGCCCCACGCTCCACCCATGGTGACCTCTGTTACCCCCTCCCCGCCCCCAGGCAGCGCCTGGACCTGATGCGGGAGATGTACGACCGGGCGGCGGAGGTGCCCTCCAGTGTCATCGAGGACTGTGACAACGTGGTGACTGGCGGAGACCCCTTCTACGACCGCTTTCCTTGGTTCCGGCTGGTGGGCAGGTGGGCGCCTCCTTTCCTCCCTGGGCTGAGAGAGAGAGAGAGAGAGAGAGAAGGTGGTGGGGGCAGGGAATGGGCCTCCTCCCAAGGCCGAGACCCCTGGCTGGGGGACCCCAGCAAGAGGCCCTTTTCCACCCTGACTCCCCTGTCCTCGTCCTTCCTGGGTCTGAGGCACCTCCCCAGCCATTCTTGTCCACAGGCCAGTGGGCCCTGTAATTTGGGAGACCAGGAGGGGAGGGGGTCTCGGCATTGCCACCAGGGGCTATGGCTGCCAGGTTGCATGTGTCCACGGGTGTGAATGTGAGTCACCCGGTCCTCACACAACCTCAGCCACACCTGGCCAGGATCATGCCAGTAGGTGCTTTCCAGAACTTTCCGTAGCCTTCCACTGACCACATGTGCGGTTTCTCTCCAAGCCTGGGGACGGGGTGCACTTTGGTTCTCTTGTCTTTTGAAGCAACATTCCAGATGGTTTGTGTGTTTGGTTTTGAACAGACGCCCCCCCCACCCCCCGCCCCCCGTCCGTCCCTGCGAGTAGCTGGTGTTAACTTCTCTCTGTCTTGTCGTACTAACCTCAGTTCAGTCATCTCTGGCTGCAACAGCTACCCTCTTCTCAACACATGCATGAGCGAGCGCATGGCTGCTCTCACCCCCTCCCCCACCTTCTCGAGCCCCGACTCCGACGCCACCGAGCCTGCCGAGGAGCAGAGCGTGGGGGAGGAGGAGGAGGAGGAGGAGGAGGAGGAGGAGGAGGAGGAGGACCTGGAGGACGACGTCTTTCCGGAGCACGCGCTGTGCGACGGCCGGGACCCGTTTTACGACCGGCCCCCCCTGTTCAGTTTAGTAGGAAGGTTGGTGAGGTCGAGGACGGCATGCTGGGAAGGAACCAGCTCTTTTACGCAGGAGCACTGCTGCGGGCACAATTCGACCGCCGCCAGGGCAGCTCCCCGGACCCCCAGGCCGAGGCAGGCCGTGGGGCTGGCCTCCCCGAGCAGAGTGCGTGAGAGAGCGAGAGGGCTCCTGGCCATCCTGGAGTATGCCCAGCGGGGACAGTTAGGGTCCCAGTCACGGAAGGGGCCATGCACCCAGAGCACGGCCCTCCGGCTCCAAGTGGGCGGAGCTCCTCCAGCAGACAGGCTGTAGAACCCTGGGAGGGAGTCCGTGGGGGCATCTGGGAGAGTGGGGGTTTGCGTCTCGGCACGCACCTCCCGCTGAGGTGGCTTCACTCCCCTCAGTCTCCTTCTGCTGTTGCCCCAGAGGGGGTGGCTCCCAGTTTGCTCTCCCTGCCACACCCTCTGGGAGAAGGAGCAGAAGCCAGAGGAGACCTTCCTGGAGGGCAGGAAGGAAGAGCTGGCGCTCAGACAGGGGTCTGGTCTACTTCGCAAGCCTGGGGCCCAGTGGACCCTGCCTCTGCCCGAGCCTTTCTCCGTCCAAAGGTGAGGACATTTCATTCCTCCTCACCTCCAGGCTATCCTGGAGAGACACAGCACACAGGGCCCACGCTTCTTGGGAAGTGCCCTTTACAGAGACAGCCCGTTACAGTTTCTGGACAGAAGAGGGAAGCCAAGGTCAGGAGATGGAGCAGAGGCCCCGGGGCACCCCAGACCTTGCTGGCAGATTGGGCAGAGGCAGCTGCCATTAATGGTTTTATGACCGTGGAATGGGAGCAAAACAGAGAAGGAAAACTCTAGAAACCCAGCTGCAGTGGTAGGATGTTTGGCTCACGGGACAACTACATTTAGATTTGAGGAACATATGAAAAGCGTAAGATGGTTTCAATGGTGACCTTCTCTGAGTCTGAGATCGTTTCCTTGGGCTAAGCCAGTGGGAGCCTTTGCAGGTCTTGACCTTGGAGCACCAGGCCTGGAAACTGAAGGCTGAGGCTGGCCCCAGATTAGGAGGTTCACACAGGGAGCCCTTGGGTGCAGACCCCGGAACGAAAGTCCCCCCACCCCAACTTCTCTTGGAAGGAAGAAGGCTCCCTCGGGTGTATGTCAGATTTATTCTGACCGGTTTTCCGTGGGAGTGATATGCTGGCCTCCCGGATGCAAATGTGGGCTCTCTCCCTCAGAGATGCCCCGCATCTGGGCCTCCCTGAGCCCAACAGGGGGCTGAAGCCCCGGGGGCCAGCTCCACGCAGGCCTCTAGAAAGCCCTGGGTTGTGGGCCCGGGAGTCGCTCCACTGTCAGATAGGCGTGGGCTCAGGACGCAGGGGAGCGAGGGCACCGGGAGAAACGGGGTGTGGGCTCTGCAGTCTCAGCCAGAAAGAGCTGGGTCCTTCCAACGTTTTCCCCCCTCTGTGGATCTGAGATGTTACAAAACAAGCAAACCAAACGAAAGTCATCAGTGAGAGGCCAGCCCCCTACGGCGGGCGGTCTGTGAGGGGCTTCATTTGGAAACGTCCCCATCTTTTTGGTTTGGCAAGAATTGGCTTCTCCCGCGCGGCAGCTGTGCAGGCCAGGCCCTGAGAAGGACCCCATCTTTGGTTCCCTTTAATCCTTCTGGTAGCTGCTGGCTCTCTCGCCAAAGCTTAAGCAGAATTGGGGTGCCCACTCTTGTCTCCCTTCGGAAAGGCTTTCCTGGCCCCAGCATGCGTCTCTGCACCTCACCAGCCTCGTGGTTAGCCCCGCCTCCTCCCCTCCCGCCACACGCAGCCCTGGCTCTGTGCTCTGCCGCCTCTTCTCTCTCCGGGCGGGTTTCAGCCTGCTTCAAGGTGCCCTCCCACCGTGGATGAGCGCCCCCCTCCGGCGTGGGCCTCCCACATCTGAACCCTGGGCTCCTCGCCCGTGGCCAGGGTTAGCCCCCCAGTGGCCTCTCCCTCTGGTGGTCTGGGGTGTCAGGTGAAGTGGGGAGGTGGGATGGGCTGACCCAGGCAGAGGAAGGGGGTCTGGGGACTCTGGTCCACCCCCCACCACTGATAATCCTCCTGGCCAGGAGCACTGCTTGCAGAAGCTGGATGGCCGGGAGCTGCAGGGAGGAGGGTGAGGGGCTGGCTGCCAGGGATGGAGGGTGCAGGGAAGGAGGGCAGGGGAGTGGGAGGGGGACCACCCAAGGGAAGCATTCCAGACTCTGTGGAACAATGCTGACCTGTTTTGGGTCCACACTATGTCCCCTGGGCTGGTGTGGCCAGTCCCTCAGCTCCCAGCTCAGTGCCTTGTGCACAGGGCCAATCAGCCAGAACTGTCACCGGTGAGGCTATGAGCCCCTCTGTGTGCAGTGGGTGGGCTCTGGCTGGCAGGGGCCCTCCGGGCAGCACTGGGCAGTTCTGGCCCTTGGTGGCTGAGGCTGATGTCAGACTTTCTGGCACTTATGGGGCAGCGCAGGGGAGGCCAGCGTCTGGGCTGTGGGCCGCATTTCCTCATGTCCTGGCTTCTGTGGGTCAGGCTGATCTCTGCCTGGACTGTGGGTTCTTTCAGGCTGCCAGCCCTGGGGATGGTGGCTGCTGGGCCCCCAAGGTCCCTTCTGGGTGATGTGCTCACCACCATCTCATGATTAGATCCTGGGGATTTGGGGGAGGGGGGCAGGAAGGAGAGCGGGCCCAGCATCCGGCACCAGATGCTCTCTTGCCTCCTGGGGGTGTACCCCCCCCCGCCCACACGTGTGCCCCAGGGGAGCATGTGCACACGCATTCACTCATTGCTGGGTTAGGACCTTCAGAGCCGGGGAATGGGGTCGGCCATGGATCACAGGGGTCTTTTTCATTGGGTAATCCCCCACTTCCCACCACAGGGTCCCTCAAGGCCCTAGCCCTGGGAGGCCCGGCCTCTGGGAGAACAGACAGGATGGGTCTTGTGTAAAGATCTGAACTCAAGCTTTGCCGTGCTCAGTGTCATGAGGGCTCAGAATTTCCTTCTCATCTGACAGAAGGAACTCCTAAAAGATCAGGAAAGAACTGATCTCCTAATTAGCAGGTGGGCACTGCACCCGCCGGAGCTGGAGAGCAGCCAGGCTGTGGGTTTAAACCCTAGCCCCCAGCGCCTTCCTCTCTGTTCTTGAGCCTGATGTGCAGATCTGCAGAGGGGGCACTAACGCCCTCATGCACCAGCTCTGACACACACCTGGGAGAGGAAGGTGCAGGCACCCGAACTAAGACGCATTGGGCGTCAGTGCAGCTCCGCGTCCGCTACCAGGATATGAGGAGTGGGTGTCTGGGAAGTGACGGGTGTAGATAGGCTGCTGCCCAGGGTGGGTGGCCCTGTTGCCCAGGGTCAGCCCCCAGCCAGTTCAGGGTGCAGTGAACAGCTAGGACTCCATCACGGCTTTTTCATCCACGATTTGGGCCTTGGGGTCACGAGTGGCCCAGCCCCCATCTGGTTTGTGGGAACCTCAGATCTGCACAGTGATGCAGGTTCTTGGGCCCACGGTTGGCAACGGGACAGAAAGAGTCATTCGGGACGAGCACAGCAGGTTTTGTGACGCAAGGTCTCAAGGAAAGAACCGGGTCAGGGCAGGCCTGGACTGGGCCCTGCCCTCCGCCTCCGTCTCTCTGGCCTGGACTTGGGGAGGGACGGGGAGGAGCATCAGGAAGTGGGTGGACATGGACCTGTGAGCTCAGAGAGGGGTAGGGGTTACCTCTGGGGTGCTGTGGGTCGCGGTCTGGATAACCCCTGGGCCCTGATGCCCAGATCCAACCCCTGAGGTATCAGCCCCTGAGCCTTCTAGGAAGACAGCCCGGGCCAGGGGCTCTGCGGCGGCCTGACTCTGGCTCACCTGGCTGGGGGCTCTGCATGGCCCAGGAGGCTGTCCTGATTAAGGACCCTCGTGCCAGTCACGGTGCCCTCACCTGCCCCCAGTGGGAGGTGTCTCCCTGCTTCTCAGGGCCCTCCTGCTAGTTCTCTGCATACTATAGATGGGGGTGGGCACCCATCTGTGCCTGGGAGGCCCTGGGAGCCTCCTCAGCGCCTCCCTGCCTCCTGACACGGGGCGTCCCATGGTGGGCCCTGCTCTGGGCCCGAGGCCTGCAGCTCGGGGCTGTCCTGCTCGGTCCTGTTAGCTCTGCAATGTGGTGGATGGCCAGATGGGGCCCCAAGGGGGCAGAGCAGGGTCCGGGCCTATTCCTCAGCCAGGATGCCAGGGGCTCAGGGAGGGCAGGCCACCATCATGTCTGTGCCAAGGTGGGTGCTGGCCGGCCTCGGCCAGTCCCTGTCAGCGGGGTGGCCTAGGCTGCTGCAGCAAGGGGCTTCTGCTCCCTGGGCCTTGGGCTCCTCTGTGAGTGGGGCCAGCGCTGGCTTCTGTCAGCTGTGCCCATGCCTTGTCTTGGTGGGTGGTCAGGGGCAGCAGAGCCCCCACGCTGGTCATTCATCAACACTGCTGCTCCCTTGGAGCAGTCCTTCTCTAGGGTGTTCCCGGAGAGGGCTTTTTGCCAGGGAGGAGAGGGGCTCCAGGAAGCCATCGGGCGCAGACACTCAGGGTGACACTGAGCCCCTGAAGCAGCACAGCCTTTCCCTTTCATTGGCGCTTATCTCGGTCTGGGGGTGCCCAGCAAGTAAGGGAACGTTGGCAGAGACAGACCCACTGCTGAGTCAGACAAACAGATGGCTCTAAGGGGTTACACGATGGGGGTGCTGGGAGCAGAGAGTGCCTGGGGTGTCCTGGGACGGGGGTTGCTGAGTGGCGGGCTCGGCCAGGACTGAGGGTGTGTGGAAGTCTGGTTGGAGCCCTGAGCCTTCTCTGGCTGCCATGGGGGCCGCGGGGGAAGCACAGGTGTGGCCGGCCCTCGGCGGGGACGTTTGGGGTGGAACAAGAGCCAAGTGGTGCCCACCTTTCTAACCTGTGGGTGGAGGTCCCACAATAGAGTGGGCCACCAGGGCCTGGAATTGGGGCCCTTGAGGAATGGCCTCCCTATGCCTACAGCTGTAGGGAGTCGTTTGGGAGCTCAGGTGTAGGGTGAGGCCGGTGGCTCAGCCTGGGTGGTGTCTGAGCTCTGAGCAAGCCGAGAGGGGCAGTGGGTGGGGTGACATCTCTCTCCCTTCTCCTCCCAGCACCCACCTGGCCTGCGCACTGTGACCTTCCCTCCCCCACCTCCCCTTCACCCCCCGCTCCCACTGTTGCTCTTGCTTCTGTACCTCCTTGGTTCTCCCTGACTGAGGCTGTAGGCCTCCCTCCCCTACCTCTGGTCCTCCTTCCCTTCTGTGTCCAAATCCTTCCCATCCTTGCCCAAGCTGGACCTCTCCCCTGGGACCCCCCAGCCGCCCCAAGATCCTCCTGGGAGCTCAGGGCTATTGAAGGCTGTGCCCCCACCCGTCACTCTGTGCTTGGATGGGAGGGCAGGTTGGGGACAGGTCCTGTGGTGAAGGATGAGCAGAGCGGCGGGTTTTTGCCAGGGTTGGGCTCACTAGGCCCGCCTGTCCTCTGCCCGGAGTCCCCCTGGGCAGGGTGCCCCTGACCAGGGAGGAGCTGTGCTCCACACCAGCCTGCACACCTGGCCCAATGGCCCAGGTATTCCAGGATTCTCACGGTCCTCTTGGCTATCCGAGTGACCTCTGCACATGGACTAGCTCAAGGAGCTGGGCAGACTCCTCGGTGACACGGCCACTACCCAGCCGGTCCTGCCACTCGCCGGGGGCACAGCTGAGCCGGTCGGATGGGAAGGGCCTCGGGTACTCTGTGAGTGGCTGATGGGGACTCACTGGGCAGTGCTGGGCAGTCTAGGGGGTCCTCAGGGCTCTGTTCAGCCCACTTCCCTGGCACAGAGGTGGGGGTGGTGCCCCATTGGCCAACTCTGTGAGCTCCTGCCCGCTGTGTTTTTGGAAGGGTCTGAGAAGGAATTGACCTCTGTTCTGCCATGGGAGCTCTCTGTGGGGTGCTGAGGCCAGTGGTCACTGGGAAAGGGGTGGGAGGCAGAGGGACTGCGGGCATCATTGCCAGTGTGAGGGTCATAGCTCGGTGTGGCCGGGTCCCCAGGTCCTCCTCCTCCTTGAAGCAGGCTGAAACCTCCCTCCTCAGCTCTCAGACAGCGGGTATGGCCCTGCGGGCTCAGCCCTGTGCCAGCCCCACTCGCACTTCCTCTCTGCCTGCCCCGCGCACGCCCTCCTCCTCCTCTGTCCCTGTGCCTCCTCCTGTCTCTTGCGCAGCCCACGGACTGCCCCCCCCCCCCCCCCCCCCCCCCCAGCACAGCCCCCGCCCGCCCTGCCTGACCGTTGCCCTGGCTGCTTGGCTCCTCGCTCTGCTTCGCCGTGTTGTGTCGTGAGCCCGGGCCGTGCTGCCGCCAGCGCTGCTCCCAGCCCGCACCGGGAAGGCCCTGACCTTGGCCTCTGCTCCCCCAGGGCCTTCGTGTACCTGAGCAACTTGCTGTACCCCGTGCCCCTGGTACACCGTGTGGCTGTCGTCAGTGAGAAGGGAGAGGTGAAGGGTTTCCTTCGCGTGGCCGTCCAGGCCACCTCAGGTGCGTGTGGGGCAGCCCTGGGTGGGAGGTCCCCGTGGGCACCACACCGTGGCCAGCATGCCGCTGGCCTCCTCTGTTTGTCCTGTCCCCCCCGCTAGCATGCAGGCTGCCGGCACCCAGGAGGGCCTCCGGAAGCAGCTCTTGCTGCCCAACTCCAGGTTCTGTCCTTTCGGACTCTCCTGGGTCGGGTCTGACGGGTCAGGGGCAGGGTGCTGATACTGTGCAGGCTGAGCCCACTGTACCTCAGGGGCCCCCTGTTTCCCATCGAGTAGCCCTAGGTGGACCCAGGCCCCAACGTGGGGCAGAGTATTGCTCTGTCCTAGCTCCCTGCTGTGTCTGAGCCCAGCGCAGGCGTGCAGACCCCTGACCACTGCCACCTCCACAGCAGCAGCTCTCAGAGCCTCTTTCCAGGCTCCCCACTGGGTCCGTCCTTCAGACTCCTTGGCCTCTCTGGAGCTGGCTTTTCTGCCCAGAGGCCATGGACCCTCCACAGTGGGCCGCAGACCAAACCCCCTGGCTGCAGAAGCAGGTACCTCCTGCTGCTGAGCCCCCTCTGCCTGGCAGGGTCCCAGGACCCCGAGCCACAGAGTGAATGCCTTTGAGCCTGGGTGTGCTTCCCTGTAAGTGGCATCCCATGGGAAGCTTCCCACCCAACAGATGTGTTGAAAGACCCTTTCAGAACATAGCTGTGAACATGCTTGTCTGAGCAGAAGCCGCAGGCCCGAGGGCCTGTGCTCACGCTCTAATGGCCTTTATGGCCTTCGTGGCCCTCGGGCCCTCGGTCCCCGCCCCGTGGTCTCGCCCTGTGGCCTTGCTCTGCCCCGTCCCCACAGCCTTAGCAGCCTGGATGCCCTGGGGAGTCCGACGGCAAAGCGTCTCCAGTACAAGATGGGGCTGGGCTGCTCAGAGCATGAGCCCCCCACCTGCGCAGCCCCGTGCCACCCACCCCCAGCTGTATGACCCAGCCACTAAAGGGGGCTCTGGTTGTACTTTTGGGACCCTTTTGCCAAATTCTCACTGGCCCACAGTTTCCAGGTGCTCTTCATAGTGTGTCCTAGTCATGTCACTGCCGTGCCAAGACCTCCGGGACCCCCTGAGTAGGGGGAGGACAGAAACAGGGATACTCAGGACATCCAGGGCCATCCTCATTCCTCGCAGGGAACCCTGTCCCTGTAATCCTAGGGGTGCTCTGTCTCCTGGCTCTTAGCCTTCTGCGACCAAGCTGAGCCTTAGTGAAGTCGGTCCCACCAAGCGGCCTGCTTTATGGGCCGGTGCTGTCTGTTTGGACGCACGGCACTCTCACTGTCTAACGCTATGGCGGACAAGCAGCAACTTCAAAAAGCTCCAGTGCTCACAGAAGTCCCACCTGGCCTGCGAGGGTCTGCTTGTTGGACCCTTGAGCGCCAAGATCTGCTGTGCTCAGGTCCTAGACCAGCCCCGGGGCCCCTGGGCAGCTGGGGTCAAGAGCACAGCAGGGCTTGTCCCCCCCTGAAGGCCCCAGAAGAGGAGGTTGGAGCCCCTGGAGGGTCCGAGAGGCCTCCCAGGGTGGGGTCTAGCCAGAGTGGCTGGAGTCGGGGTTGGGGAGGGGTTGGAAGCCAGGTGTCCCTGGGGCAGCAGGACAAGGGGTGGGAAACAACGGGAAATCTGGGACTCTGTGAAGGGAGGGGAATGGGGGGCATGTGGGGAGCAGGTATGGAAGCTGAGTGAGGGGTGTGTGGGTGCTGTTGAGGGTCCAGATGGAGGACAGTGCGGGCCTGCATGGGTGGTGGCAGAGGGACAGTTGTGATTCTGGGGGTGAAGCGAGGAGGGCCCTGTGGTGTGGGCTCAGCTGGAGCATCTAAGTCTGCAGTGGGTGGTGGCGGGTGGGACTCAGTAGAGGGGCAGGGGTCATAGCTCGGTTTTGAGAATGAGGAGTCTGTAGCCCCGTCAGCGCCAGCTGTGCTGAGGAGGCAGCCCCCTCTTGGGTCCAGAGGCACACAGGCTGGCAGGCCATGTGCCCGGGACGGCGCCCTGGGTGTTCTGGAACCGTGGTTGGCAGCACTGGGGGACCCCAGTCCTGGGTCAGAGCCCGTCCCAGTTCCTGTGCCTTGCCCCTGCCTGGTGGCTCCGACTGACTTTGCCAAGCCCTCCTGGGGACCAGTAGGGCCCTGACCATGCACTCGGTTCCCATTGCAGCTGACGAGGAGGCCCCTGACTATGGCTCTGGTGTCCGGCAGTCAGGGACGGCCAGAATCTCCTTTGATGACCAGCACTTTGAAAAGGTAGGTGCAAAGGTTGGCCTGGCCTTCCAACACCAACGACCCTCTTCCTGCCTGACCCCAGAGGGCCTGGGCACGCCTGCACTGCTCAGGACCTGCCTGGCAGGCCCTGGGTCCTCCTCAGCCTGGTTCCTCTCTTCCCAGGCCTCGGCCTTGGGGTCTCTCTTACTGTCTGACTTGTCCTGACCCATGGGGTCCATCTGTCTCCTCACCTTGGCCTCCCCGGGTCTGTGCCTGCTTTCCCCACCGGCCTTTGGCTGTATGGGCCACCACATGCCAAGATGCTCCCACTGACCCGCCCTGACCCAGCTTGCTGTCCTGGACACTGTTTCCATCTTTGCCCTCCCCTGACATGGCCTCCCCTGACACTGCAGCAAGAGCTAGAGGGGCCCCTCCACACAGTCCTGGGCTGGCCCTGCTCTGGTGCCAAAGGACAGGAATTGCCCCCTGCCGGGTCCTCACTCAAAGGAGATGGTGTTTTCCAGCTGCGCTCCCTGTTCTGCTCTCAGGCCCAGAGTAGATGAGGGGAGGGTCCTGCCCGGTGCCCCCAGACTGGGCTTCACTCACAGGAGGCTCCTACCCTCTCCATCTTAAGCCTCTTTCCTAACCCATCCCCACCAGGCTGCCCAGCACTCCACTTGAATCATTCCCCACCTTCCCCTCTGCAGCCCACACAAACTGAGGCTGAGGGCGGTGGGCACCCACTAGGCAGGGGTGGGTCTAGATCACAGGTCTGCAAAGGCCCTGGCCTGGCTCTGGGGTCCTCGGTGGGCTGTCGTGGCCTCACCCTGAGCTGGTTTCCTCTGACTCTGGCCCCCAACCCACCCAGTTCCAGTCTGAATCCTGCCCAGTGGTGGGGATGTCCCGCTCAGGGACCTCCCAGGAAGAGCTGCGCATCGTGGAAGGTCAGGGCCAGGGTGCAGACGCTGGGCCCTCAGCCGACGAGGTCAACAATAACACCTGCTCAGGTAGGGGGCCACCCCACCCACCATGGTCCAGAGGGCCCACCCCCTCTTGGCTCAGTTCCCACTGCCAGGGTCCCCCAGGGAGGCCGTAGGACGTTCCCGGGACAGCAGCCGTGTGGGCTCCTCGCCTGATCCTGGGCTTTAAGCCCTGCGGAGGTCCCGCCACTTCGCTCTGCCCTCGGCCCCCAACAGCCGTGTCTCCGGAAGGCCTCCTCCTGGACAGCCCCGAGAAGGCCCCCCTGGACGGGCCGCTGGACGCCGCCCTGGACCATCTGCGCCTGGGCAACACCTTCACCTTCCGTGTGACCGTCCTGCAGGCGTCCAGCATCTCTGCTGAATACGCCGACATCTTCTGCCAGTTCAAGTGAGCCCCATGCCCCGTGCTGGCTGCGGGTCCCCACCCCGTGGCCCCTGTGCCTAGCCAGTGTCTCCTCTCCTTTTACAGCTTCATCCATCGCCACGATGAGGCCTTCTCCACGGAGCCCCTCAAGAACACAGGGAGGGGCCCCCCACTCGGCTTCTACCATGTCCAAAACGTACGTCCTGAGGGCCCCCTCTCCCCTCCACCACAGCCGCCCCAAAGCTGAGCCTGGTGGCAGTCACTGTGCGTCAGACCTTGTCCCGGTCCTGAACCCCAGCCATGAGCTGGGCAGGGCCCGGGTGTGAGGGCACAGGGACTCAGGTGCCAGGCGGGGGCGCGTGCTGTCGCTGGGCAGTGGGGGCCTCAGTGGGCTTAAACCTGGGGCTGGGGGCCCCTTGGGCCGGTATGAACATGAGGTGTCTAGGGTACCCAGCGTGGCACTGGCTGGTGTGGGGAAAAAGCAGAGAGACAGAGCACACAGAGGGCCCCGGGGTGTCTGGGCACAGTCTGGAGAGGTCGGGGAAGCCTTATGCAGGACGTGTCCCCAGCCTGGCAGTCAGGAGAGCAGGGGCTTCCGAGTGGAGTCGCTCTGTGAGGCCGGAGAACAGGGCTCACCGGCTGCTGGGGATCACCTGGCCGTAATGGTGCCTTCAAGGGGTGAGGCCTCGTGTGCCCACCGAGGAGTGTGAAACAGACATCTTGGCCATGTACATCTTGTGGGTATGTGGCCTGAGTGGTCCCGGGCCCACACTCGAAAGGGCCCCCCATACCAGCCCGTCCTGAGCCTCGGGTTCTCAGCCAGGGAAGCAAAGTCAGGCGTGAAGGTGTGCACACCTGGTGGGCTCATTTCCTGGGCGCCCTGAACAGAGCCCATTTACTGGGCAACCTTAACAAAGCCACGGCCCCTCCAGGCAGGAGGCTGGAAGCCTGAGATCAAAGCCTGGATAAGGTTGTTCTGTGGAGACTGTGAAGGAGACTCCGTGCCAGGCCTCTGCTGGGCAGGCAGACGCCCTCTTCTCCCTGTCCTCCCGTGTTCATGCCTTTATGTCTGTCTGTGTGTCCTGATATCCTCTTTCCATGAGGACACAGCTACACTGGCTTAGGGTCCCCCGGTGCCCTTGTTCTAACTTGGGATTACCTCTACAAATCTCCTATCTCTAAATACAGATCTGGGCGTCAGAACTGCAACACAGGAATGGGGAGTGGTGGGAACACAATTTAACTCATACCCCTCGATGAGCAGGCAAGGGCCCAGGAAGGGTCCCTGCAGGCCACAGAGGTGCCCTCTGCCCTCTGTCCCCTCTTGAGCTCCGTGTTCTGAAAGGGCACTCTCGGGAGGTTGGCCTTTGGCAGGGCTGGCAGGACGAGGGAGGAGCATCACCCCCTTGTGGGCAGAGGTCGGGCCCAGCCAGGGTCTCCAGTCTGGCTCTCCGGGGAGGCTGAGCTGTTAACCTCTGCCACCCTCCTTCCCCTCCCCCGTGGCATGGCCTCACCCTCCCACCTGCCCTCCTTACCTGCCAGATCGCGGTGGAGGTGACCAAGTCCTTCATCGAGTATATCAAGAGCCAGCCCATCGTGTTTGAGGTCTTTGGTCACTACCAGCAGCACCCGTTCCCACCCCTCTGCAAGGACGTGCTCAGGTCAGCACCCCCAGGTTGGGGTGGGTCGGAGGGCCCTTCTCAAGGGTGCAGGCCCTCTCCCTTCCTTACCAGTGAAGCTGCCCTGACCCAGCCAGGCCTCCCAATGCCCACCTTCCCCATCGACAGGGCAGCCGGTCACCCAAGGTCAGCAGGATCCAGGGGAAATGAGAGATGTCCCTCCAGGACTGAGCAGTGAGGTTCTTAAAGAGGACTGCTGTCTAGACCTTGCTCTCGTGGCTGGGGGCTGTGTACTGGGGCCAGGAAAGCAGGGGCTGGGTGGGGGAATGGCCAGGGAGGCGCATGAGGCAGACCGCTCCTGTCACCTGCAGAGAAAGCCACCCCGGGCCTAGCTATTCCAAGCTCCTGGAGTCATTGGACCCCAGACAGCATGAGGGAACATCCTTCCATCTCCCTCATCTCCTGTGACCTCCCCTGGGCTCTGTGGGTGGGCCAGGTGTCCCTTCTGCTGTTCCCACCCCCAACCTGGTGAGGGGAGAACTGCAGACAGGCTTCTGGGGCTAGGGGAGCCTCTTGCCACTCCCATTGTGCTCTCTGCTGTCCTGCGGGACCCGGAGCTAAGCAGGGGGTCCAGAGTGTTGGAGAAAGAGAAAGGCCATGAGGGGTGCTGGTTCCCAGGCATCTGGCCCCACAAGGCTCATCTGTCCTTGGGGTGCTGAGGGAGGCTCTGTCCTGGAAGCCCTGGATGGAGAACCAGAGTCCGATCTCACCCAGTTCTCACGGGCTTGGTCTGGGGTCCCCATGGGCCTCCTCCCGCATCCAGGTTGGTGAAGGCCTGAGCCTGGCCTTTCCTGGGACCTGGGAGGCAGACGGGGGCCTGGATCAGGCAGCGCTGTGAGCTCCTGCTGCTGCTCCTGCCCTTGGCTCCAGCTCTGGCTTGGGGGCCTGGAGACCTGCCCGCAGCTGCCTCACCCCGGCGCCTCTCTCTCCACAGCCCCCTGAGGCCCTCGCGCCGCCACTTCCCAAGGGTCATGCCGCTGTCCAAGCCAGGTACCCGGGGCTCTCCTGCGTCCACCCCTGGGGGAGCGAGGGGCTCGTGCTGCCCTGATGTGTCCCCACACCTCGCCGGGATGTGGCAGGCCGGGTTTTCCACCCGTGGTGCCTCTCTCCTGTCACCCCCCAGTGCCTGCCACCAAGCTCAGCACGCTGGCGCGGCCCTGCCCTGGGCCCTGTCACTGCAAGTACGACCTCCTTGTCTACTTCGAGATCTGCGAGCTGGAGGCCAATGGCGAGTGAGTACCCTCACCGGCTATGGCCAGGCTGCCCGGGCCATAGCCTCGGGCTGGTGTGCATGGCTGTCCTTGCCTGGCTGACTCTGTCCTCCCTGGACTGGACTGCCTCCTCTTGGCCAGAGGCGGGAGCGCTTTTCCTGTTCCCACCCTTCATCTCCTCTGGGCGCACAGGTATGTGTTGGGGAGTGTGGGGGGTGGGGGGTTTGCCTCACGCATCTCTTTTTTGCAGTTACATTCCTGCAGTCGTGGACCACCGTGGCGGGATGCCATGCATGGGGACCTTCCTGCTTCACCAGGTGCGAGGTGCTCCCTGCCCCTGCCCACCTGTGCTCCCCGCCGTGGGGGCCCCAGGCCATCTGAACATGTCCTCTCTCCTGGCGCTGGGCAGGGCATCCAGAGACGGATTACTGTGACCCTGCTGCATGAGACAGGCAGCCACATCCGCTGGAAGGAAGTTCGAGAGCTGGTCGTGGGTGAGTGAGATGGGTGTGGGCTGCCTTAGGGGCTGGGGCTGGGTTGGCAGGAAGACCCTTGTCCAGGCCAAATGCCTGAGCTCTAACCACAGCTCTGCCCCGAGGCTGTGTGACTTTGGCCAAGTCGCTGAACCTCTCTGTGCCTCAGTCCCTCCCCTGGAGAGGAAAGCTCGGGCCAGGGTGATGCTGCCCCATTTCTGTGGAGTCCCCTGCTATCAGCCATGCTGGTGCGGATGGCAGAGCTGGGCCCTCCCACAGACCTGCAGGCATGAGGCTGAGGGCACTCACCCTCTGAAGCCTGTAGGGGAGCGCCGGTCCTCGCCTCTTCCTGCTGTCAGCGGTGTGTGGGGACTGCCTGGCCCTCCTTGGCTTAGGGGCCCGTCAGGTGACCTCTTCTTGGGAGGACCTGGATCAGGGCCCACCCCCTCCAGTGTGACCACAGCTCAGCTAAGTACATCCACCAAGACCTTGGCTCCAAATAAAGTCACATTCTCAGGTCCTGGGGGTCAGCACGATGCATCCTTTGTGGTGGTGGTGGGGGACACACAGAGAGAGGACACACAGTTCAACTCATAGTGGTCGCCATGGACCTCGGACATTTTCCTTCAAGTTTCTTTTGCCAAGCTATGAAGAGTTTGTTTTCCAGTTTCCCTTCAAGGGCTCAGACGATTATCCGTCCTTCCCCTCCCCTGGAGCTGATGGGTCCCTCCGGAAGCCCCTTCCTGGTGCGGGGAGAACTGTGGTCAGGAGGGCTGCCGCTGGAGGGTGCTGTCCTGGGTCTCATGGGGGGCTGAGGGCGCGGTCGCAGGGATGCCACTGCCACAGCCAGAAGCTGGGCCCCAAGGTGCAGGACTGTGAGCTTCTGGGGGCCCAAGACAAATGCTTTTATTTTAGCCATTGGTATCTGTGTTCACACAAATCCTAAAAGGCTGGAGAGAGCTAGCAAATCCTCCTCTGAGATGTTTAGGGCAAGTTTAGGGAATCAACCTAAAGAATGAGATGCAGCACGTACCCCGCCGGCGCCCAGACCTCGTGCAGACGGGAGGGCTCGCCCCATGTGTGGGCAGAGGAGGGGTGCTGCTGAGAGGAGGGGAGATAACTGTGAACACCAAGGCCCCACTCTGGGTTAAGGGCTCTGGGCACTGTCTCTCTGGGCCTCCTAAACAAGATAGACCTGGGAAGGGGCGTCTCTGCCCAACAGGGGCCCCCAGGCATCACGCTTGCCAGCGGGGTGCCTGACCACACAAATGGGCAGAGAGCTGCTGACGTCGTGCCCTAGGGGCCGAGGAGGTCGGGGGCCAGCCCTGGAATGAGATTTTGGCTCCAGTCAAGCCACGGGGCACTCCACCTCCCACTATGGGGGTCACACCCTGGGAGCACTTTTGGGGGACCCCACACCTGCCTCCTCCCAGAACCCAAATGCTGCAAGAAGATTCCAGGAGGTGGGGCAAGCAACTCCAGCATACATGGCCACAGACTCCTGGCCAGGGCCTGGGCTCCGCCTCACCCATGTGTACGGGAGACAGAAAGCCAGTCTTCCTGCATGGCTTAATGGAGAAAATTCAGTGTCTGTTTCTTCCCTGAAGAAGCGGAGTGTTCTGGTATCTAACACTACTGGGGCAAGAAATGACTCACAAAGCCGCCAGCAGGATTCTTGACTCACAGCCATTGTGGCGCCTTCCCCAGACAGGATCCCCATCCCAGGGGGCGTCTTAGGGGGCTCAGCAGGAAGTGTGCCCTGCAGAGAGATTAACAACCCAGATGGTCCTTCCTTCCCCCCTTTCCTTTCCTTTCCTTTCCTTTCCTTTCCTTTCCTTTCCTTTCCTTTCCTCTCCTCTCCTCTCCTCTCCTCTCCTCTCCTCTCCTTTCCTTCCATCCATCCATTTATCCCTCCCTCCTTCCCTCCCTTCCTTCTGTCTGTCCATCCATTCATCCTTCCCTCCTTCCCTTCCTTCCTTCCTTCCCTCGTTTCCTTCCTCCCCTCCCTCCCTCTCTCCCTTCCTTCCTTCTATTCCTTCCCTCTTTCCTTCATTCTCTCCTTCCCTTCCTTTCCTCTTCCTTCCTTCCCTCCTTCATTCTCCCTTCCTTCTAGTATAAAGAGAAGAAGGAACATTTTTCTTCTTCTTGCTAAGATTTCCTTTCCTAACAAGGGACTGTGTATTCTAGGCTGAGTGGTTAGAACCTATCAGTTGGGTGCGAGAGAGACCGACATTGAGAGTTATTTATGGTTGATAAACTAGAAACTGAGATTGTGGGAGGAGGGAGGGTAGGATGGTACGCTGAGTGCCGGCGCCCGGGATTGGCAGAGACGCTGCCGTGGCCACGCTGTCTGGTGCTCCTGTGGGCCCACGGGGCGTCGGTTCCCTGATGTGGCCGCAAGGTTCCGGAGTGCCGGTCCAGGCAGGGACCCAGCACCCGCCTGTCCTCCTGGGAGGTGACTGTACTGTGGCCTTTCCTGTAGGTCGAATCCGAAACACACCAGAAACTGATGAATCCCTGATCGACCCCAACATCTTGTCTCTCAACATCCTGTCCTCTGATTACATCCACCCGGCCCAGGATGACCGGTGAGTGCCCTCGGGGCAACAGTGGATTCTGTTCCCAGCTCCCTGGAGACAGGGTCCAGGTCAGGACCCGGGGTGTGTCCTCAGCCCGCCACAACTGCAGTGGACCGGGCTATGTGAGGTCTTGGGCCTGTCCGGCCACAGAACTTTCAGGCCTTCCTTTCTGATACCCGCAGAACGGTGCTGGGAGGGGAGGCCGGGCCTCCGAGTCCCTTGGTGTGTGTGTCTGCACGTTGTCCCATCACAGCTCACACATTCGTCCAGACTGTTCATTTGGTCACCTGGCGGAGGGCAGTGGGTGTTGAGGATGGCGGAGCTGGGTTCTGTTCTCAGGAGTTTAGGGGGGTGAGGGGGGACACCGGGGTTGCTGGGCATCAAGTAGCCCCGAACATCCCCAGCCATGCTGCTGTGGGTGGTCTGGGCCTCGGGCTGGGGGTTCCGGTGGCCATTCCAGGGTGCACAGGTCAGTGGTTCGGCCTCTGGGCACGGCTTGGCACCTGCTCCTTGTCACTGGGCTGCTCCTTTCCCAGCTTGCAGTTAATGGCCAAGACCTGGCAGCCGGGGCAGCCCCAGCTCCCCCTGTATGTGAGGGGGGCAGGTGGGGTGTGCCAGCACCCCTGGGATGCCCTCCTTCACCCCCAAAACACCAGCCTTGTTGGGCTTGGCTGGGGGGTGTGAGGGGTGGCATCTGGGGACTGACGGGGGTGGGTAGCTCGTAGCTGTCGAGACCTGTCCTCTTGGTGGGGATGTGGGCTTGGCTGTGTCTGAGATGCTGCTCTCCAGGGGCTTGGGGAAATGACGAGAATATTCCAGCATCCCAGACGGCTCTCCCATGGGCAGACCTGGCCTGCAGGCAGACGCTGAGAGCTGACCCCGGGAGCTTGCGCTCTGGCTGTCTTCACTGGTTCCTGTGGCAGTGTGTACAGGAAAAAATGTCTTTGAGGGCTGGGAGTGCTTGGAGGGGACCGGGGATCCTCCACTTGCCAGGAACGCTAGGACCCATGAGGGTAAATGTCCTGGGGTGTCAGGTCCTGCCCTTCTGACTCCTGAGCCCCAGTGGAACCTGGCTTTGTTGTGGACACCCTGGGGAGTGTGCTGTAAGGGAAGCATCCCCCGTGCAGGCAACTGGGGGGGCCAGCAGTCAGAGACTCCCAGAGGGGCAGCTGTGACTCTGGTTCCAGCCCTGCCCAGAAACCTTCCCGAGGGATCACCTGCACTCTTGTCCTGGGGTGCAGAACGCTGGGAGGTGTCACTATGATGAACGGGTTGGGGGTCCCGCCTGACAGAGTGGGAAGCTGGGAGGCACCGTTGGGCAAGCCGGCTCGGGGGCTCCTCTGACCACGAGAATGCAATCCCTGCAGGGATGTGGGAGCAGGGACCCCAGAGCGGAGGGCAGCCCTGGAGGGCTCTGCCTGCTGAGTGAGCTCAGCATTCCCTCTGCCTCAGACCCTTCCTTTGGCCCAGCAACTTCTAGATTCTTGGGGCAGAAAGGGAGTGGGGAGCAAAACACAAGAGGGCAGGGTTAAGTATTTTCCTTCCAAGCCTCCTGCCCCGGGTGGTCTCCCTACATGGAGGACCGTGTCTCTGAGGCTTCCCTCTGTCAGCTGCTGGGGAGGCCCTTGGGGACCTCAGCTCTAGGCTGAGTTCCGGTAGTTAAGGGGGCTCTGGCTCCCGGCTGGACCTCAGGACCTTACTAAGCAGGTCCAGCCCTGATCCTAGAGGCCCGAGGCCCCATTACTGACGGAGCTTTGGTTCTGCTTCCTGGGGGCCGTGGGAAGTGAGGCTGGCTGACAGGCAGCTCTGGGGCCAGTCGGCCCTGTGTCTGAGGTCAGGGCTGCCCTGGGTCAAATGTAGAGGAAGGCCCATCTGTGGGCTGGGACGATAGACCTTGCCCAGAGCTGCTTTGGCCTCAGGCTTGGCTCCTGCCCATGATGGTACGGCCCCAGGACCGCTCCAACCCCCCAGCCTTCCTTCAGGAAAGTCTTGGGAACCGTCCCCACCTGGGGGCCCCAGGCAGATGCCATTCGGAGGCTTGGTGGGCCAAGCCGGCAGGTTCCCCTACCCTGGGACTTTTCTCTTCCTGGACCCTGGCTGATGTCCTCGGAGCCCTGTAATGGGCCACTTGAGTGGACCCTTCTCCCCCGAAAGGCGCTGAGGCTCAGAGACCCCTGAGGCTTGGGTTGAGGGGTGCGAGCTATCAACCCGCTTTGCCACGGCCTCAGCCTCCTCCCGCTCCAAGGCCCTGTGCTTCGTGGCCTCCCCAGCTCAGACTGGGCCTGTCACCACAGACAGCTTCTCTCTGCGCTGCCCCTCCCCTTGCTGCCGCTGTCCCGCTGCCCTGCCATCCCGCCGCCCTGCAGCCCTGCCCCACCGCCCCGCTGCCCTGCTGCCCTGCCCCGCCAGCCTCACTAACCTGTAATTGTTTGTGTTTTGCAGGCAGTTTCTTGATTCGGACATGCCTAGGTATCATTTGTGCCCCTTGGTTTTATTTTGGCCTCTTTCCTTCCCCAGCCCCACACCCTGACATTTATTTTCAGCTTTTTGGATTTCTTTTACACTTGCTCCCCTTTCCCTCCTGTTTCTCCATCTTCTTTAGTTTTATTTCCTTGGAATCCTCTTTTGATTTTCTTTGTTGCTTCCTCTCCTCACCCCACCCCTCCCTCTTGGCTGAGTTCCTTCTGCCCGTCCTCTTGATTTTGGCTGCTTCAGTAGTTTCCTGCCCCTCCGGAGACCCTGGCCGGCCTCCTGCTCCTGCCCCCAGCCTTGCCCGCCCCATGCTGACCCCGCCCCCACCGGAGCCGGAGCAGGCGCCTCCCCGCATGCAGGCTGGCCAGCACCAGCCCCACCCCTTGTAAGGTGAAAGAGAAAAGAGGGAGAGAGAGGGGCTGTGGTGGGCCCAGGACGGGAGGGTAGACGAGAACCAGCCCTGCCAGGGACCTCCACGCTCCACACCTTCCAGCCCTGAGCATCAGCCCCTCACCTGGCCGGGCTGGGGGCTCCAGCTGCGCTCTTGGCCTTGGCTGCCACACACCCCAGATGGCAGAGGGTGGGCAGTAAAGTAAGTTGTGAAGGGCCCATCCGGTCTCTGTCCAAAACCCCCGAGGCAGGGCTCCTGGGCAGGGGGCTGCCTCCCCGACCTGAGTGAGGTCCCTGAGCAGGCCCACTGGGTGCAAGGATCAGTGAGGCCCCAGGGGCAGACAGCCTCAAAGTCCCTAATCAAGACCGTCCGTGAGACTTGAGTCTATTCTGAACAGAGGGTCAAGGTCATGTCCTTCTGGGTCCGGTAGATGGTGGTCAGAGTGCTGTGGGGGTGGTCCTGCAGGTCAGCTGTTTTGAAAGATGAATGAGCATTCAGAAGGCTTTTAGCAAATGTGTGAGCCTTTCAGCTGCCTGGGGGGGTGGTGCCTGTTCCTTCTGTGGGAGGAGCCCCAGGGTGGGGTGGGGGGCACCACAGGCCTGTCTGAGTCACGGCTGTGAGGGTCACTGTGAACGGGCCCTGGGCCCCACGGGCTGTGGCTCCTGCTGGTGTGATCCCGAAAGCATGCGCACACGTGTATCTGTGTGGTGGACACAGTTTGTGGACACTCTGTGTTTCCAGAGGCTGTTGCTCGCCCTCCCTGGGGTCCCTGTCAAGGGAACACGTGTGGCGGTGGCTGCTTCTGAACAGGGGGCACAGACGTGCAGGCCCAGAGCAGGGAGGGTGCCTGGTAGGGACCCGGGCCGGCCAAGGCCGTCGTCCTGCTCTCAGAAAGCTCTGGGCCCGGAGCCCCTTGCTTGGACGCATCTGCTGGACAGGACCCACGTCAAGAGCTGTTTCCTTGATGAGTAGAAGGTTCCAATCCCCTCAGTGTGATTGCTTGGCGCGGGGGGCGGGGGGATGTGCATGTTCTGTTCCAGTTTGCATTTGCACAGCCGGTTCTGTAGGATAGAGGGGTGCTCACTGGTCCTTGACCCCCCAACTGCACACCTGCAACTTATGCCTCCAGGAAGCTCCTGGGTAAAGTGGGGACAATACTGCACGGCCAGGAGGAGGTACCAAGGAAGGAATGGGCACTGATTTTCCTTTTCAGCCCCCCAACTTCATGAGGCCCTCACCCCTACACCTGAGCAGAGAGTCCAGACCCCCAGTTCCAGATGAGGGCTCATCGGCCCCAGTGGGCTTGGCCTGAAAGAGGAGGCCCAGGGCACGAGGGGCAATGGGGGTCAGAGCCCCTGCCTCCTTCACGGGGCCCAGCCCTGTGGGGCAGGAGCCACTGTGGGGGCGGTCCTGAGAATGAGTGGACAGTGGGGTGTGGTCCAGGGAGGGTCTCGCCCTAGATGTGTGGACTGGGGCAGCCTGGCTGTGCCCTTGGCTGGCAGTGCCCTTGACTGTCTGTGTGAGTGTGGACAGGTGGCAGAAGCTTCTGGAACCTCGTTTTCCTTCCCCCCTCAGAAAGGGGATAATTTAACCCCTGCTTGAAGTTGCTGTGGCAGAAATGAGGTGACGAAAATCTGTTAGCTGGGAGGCTTCCACAGAACTGTGTAAATGTGGGTCATGTGGTCATTCTGCCCCTTATCCCCTCATCCCTTACCCCCTTAGCCCCTCACCCCAGCTCCTCACCCTCATCCCCTCACCCGCTCATCCTCTTACCTAGCCACTTACCCCTCACCCCTTCATTCCCACACCTCCTGACCCCTCACCCTTTTATCCCCAGATCTCCTCATCCCACATCCCTCCTCTTCACCCCTCATCCCTGCACCCCATCCCTTTATCCCTTCACCCCTCATCCCCTTTTCCCCCTTATCCCCTCACCCCTAACCACTCATCTCACCCCTTCCTTCCCTCATCCCCTCAGAACTCACATTTCATTCCCTCATCCCCTCGTCCCCTAACCCCATCCCCACCCCTTCACCCCTTCATCCCCTACCCCTTTCATTCCCTCACCCATTAACCCCTTATCCCTCACCCCTCCAGCCCCTCACTCCCTCATCCCCTCAGTCCCTTCATTCTTCCACCTCTCACCTCCATCCCCTCATTCCTTTATCCCCTCACCCCCACCCTTTCACCACTTCACTGCTTCATCCCCTACCCCCTTCATTCCCTCACCCCTTTGCTTCTCACCCCCTCCTTCCCTCACCCCCTCACCCCTTCACCTCCTCACCTCCTCAGTCCCTCAATCCTCTTACTTCTCCATTCCCTTCGGGTCTGAGGACTCTCCAGCTGCACAGTGCATGAGGCCGCTAAGCCGTGCACAGGGCTGCGGTGGGCACAACAGAATCCCATTCCCCTGCTCTTAGCTGTGGGGTCCTACTGAGCACAGGGTTTAATTTTCAGATTCTCCACAAACCTGTTCGCGTCAGCATGCCCCCCTTGCCTGCCCGTTAACCCACCAAGGCTGTGATGCTCGTCCCAAGTGCTGGGTACGAGTCACCACACAGTTGTCGGAAGGTGCATCAATGGACTGTGTTTCAGCTGGCATCCGTGAGGAGCGACCAGGTGCCGCCGTTGGGTGGGTGAGGCGGGGGATGACCCTCTGCCTGCCCCAGGCAGCTGCTGCCCCACCTGAGCTCCGCGGGGATACGGCGGGCACACAGTCCGTTAGAGCAGGCCAGGCCAACGCGGGGGGCTCCCATGTCACCCTCCAAGCGGACATGAAACACCCACCACTGTTGTGGTGGCCGGGACGGCCACTGAAGCTTGCTGGGCAAGAATCAGCACGGAAAAAACATCTCACAGCCTGTGACATATTCTTTGTCAACAGAACTTTGTAACGTGTTTTCAGGTTTCCCCCTGTGGGTCCTCACTTGTTTGAGGATTGAATTCTAAGTCCTGGACCTGAGTTGGGGGTGGTCCTGTTTCTGGCCCCCCGCTGTCCCAAGCCCTGTGGCTGGGGGCATCAACACAGACCCCCTCCCAACCCACCTCTGCTGGTCAGAGGGAGATATTGGCTGGCAGCTTCTGCCGGGGACTTGGAGGAGGGGAGCCTCCGTCCTGCACCCTGCAGTCCACCACAGAAAGAGTTGTGCAAGTGGGCATTCTCCTTCCAGAATAAGGGTCCTGCGGGAACTCCTAGGGCTCTGCCCATGGGGAAGCGGAGCCCTGCCTGCTGCTGGGTGTCCTGGAGAAGGGCTCAGGCCTGGGAGCTGTGGGCAGGGCCTCCCTGGGTCAGGGACATTCGGGTCCCGGCCTGACATGGATCTGGATCCGAAGGGTCGGCAGGGTGGGCCAAGACTGTGGTGAGGTGCCAGAGTGAGCCCAGGCGCTCTGCTCACGAGGCGACCCTGCCCCCGTGTTCCCACATCAGTGGGGCTGGGGTGGGGTCTGGGAATCCGCAGTGCTTCTGACCCAGGGACCCCTCGTCTGACTGGCACGTTTCTCCTGAAAGTGTATCTGTGGGACTGGCTGGGTGTCCAGTGGGGGTGGAGGGAGGGGTGCTCCCTTCCTGGGGTGACTTGATGCCCAGAGAAGTCCCGAGACTCCCGAGTGGGGGTCCTGGTGTAGTAGCCCTGACTCCGTCTGGCTGTCTCGGTGATGGGGGACAGCAATCCCTGGTCCTGTACTGTGTCCCACAGCCTCACACCCTCCAGGGCTGTGAAGGTCCCACGCAGGCAAGCTGGCTCTCAGCCACCCCTCTCCGCCCCAAGCATTCCTGCTGGTGTCCGGTGAGACCTCCCTCTGCAGAGGCCCCGGGGGCTCGCGAGTGCTGCTGACAACCCTTCCTGTCTGGGGCTCCAGGATCTGACCCCCTTGACTGTGCGGATGCATGGCCGGCTGTAGGCCAGGGGCCCGTCTACAGGAGGGCTGCCTGGGGTTGAAGGCTGACCAGGGCTTTGAGAACAGCCTGTGGGCAGCGTCATGGCTGTGCCAGGTCAGACCCCAGCCATCTTGGCCCCTGGGGAACGGTGTAGAGGAAGGCGCCCTCTTCAGCTGTGTACATGGGCCCAAGGGGACCCCCACCCATTGCTCGTCCCCACATCAACACACAAGACCCAGAGGTTCGGGTTTTCAGCGAGGTTTTGGGTCTCAGCAAGAGCCACATCCCAACTTGACTGAGGGCCTCTTGGCCAAGAGCATCTCTGAGGGGCCTCTGTGAGTGAGCCTCATGTGGAGGTGCACTCGTTTCTCCTATGGCCCCGGCCAGTTGTGGCAGAGTCCATCTGGTCCTGGGGTGAGGGCTGCTGCCAGGCCCTAGGGTTTTGGCCGCCCTCATTGGGCTGGCTCCAGTTCCGTTGGTGTGACCCACCCAAGGGTGAGGGGCTCCTGACGAGATGGGGGTCCAGCTCTTGGGGTCTGTGTAGGAGCCTGACCTGGGAGGGCCAGTTCTTCCTGAAGGACAAATAGAGAGTGCACATTAATGTAGGAGAGCCCTGCTGGTCCCCAGAGCACCGGCAGTGGGTCAGAAACGAGCAGCATCCTTTAATGACATTGAGGAAGGTGGACAGAGGGGACGGCAGTGAGGGTTTGGGGCTGGCTGGCCGCCCTGGGTAGGGGGCCCTCAGGCTGGCCTCTCCCCGCGTGTGGTCAGGGCCTCTTGGAGGCGAGGACTAGTAACAAGAATTAGTAAGAATAATCTGGGCCCTGCCCTCAGCACCTCGGATGAGCTCCTTCAACCCACAGGACATCTCCATGAGGCAGGGATGGTGACTGCCAGTGGCTGGTCCAGGAAGCAGGGTACAGAGGTGTCTGGTGATAGCCAGAGGTCACACAGCTGTGCCACGGCATTTGTCCGGTCTGGGCTGCATTGGACCTCTGGCTCTCCCTGAGGGTCTGGCCCACAGGGACTAGGGTGCTTGGGGGCCCCTGGGACGGAGGCGTCCCTCTAGGGGTCGGTCACGGGTCCATGGGTACCCGCCTGGTCCTGCTGGGCACAGACTCAAAGGTCTGGCTGCAGACGCGGGGACTGGGGGTCGGAGAGGGCCCCAGACGCTGCCCCGTGAGCCGCCTGGGCAGCTGGCGGATATGGCGCACTCCCCCGCTCGCTGTGGGTTAGCTTGTACCCGGCCACGTGACGGGGCTCGTTCTGACGTGTCCATCTCTTCTGTGTGTACGTGTGTGTCCTGGCTGCCTCCACCTTTAGCATTTCATTCGGAAATGACACTAGGTACAGCTCACTTTTCTCTTCCGCACTCGCTTGGTCTGTCCTCTTCTGCTTTTCAATTTCCTTTCTCCCCGCGGTCTCCGCCAGTCTGGTCACCCCGCTGTCCTCACGGCCCTTCCTCTGGATCGTTGTCCTTGGTGACGTGTGTGTATGTGTGTGACAGCGGCCCTGCCCCATCCTGCTGCTTTGCCCCCTGTCCCTGGAGTGTGCCCTGGAGAGCCAGGAGGCCGCAGGCACAGGATGCACGCTGGCACGGCCTTGCCCCTCCTGGTGGCCGTCTGTACTCCCAGGCCGGGCCAGCCTCTCCAGGGGGGGTCTGGCTGCGCTGGGGCGTGTGCCGCTGTCTGTCCGCAGTCTGTGCTGAAGTGTATCTCACCTGTGTCTTTGAGGATGCTTGGATGGAAACGGGGCATGGCTGGGTGCTGAGTGGTGCTGGCCGGGGCTCGCAGAGTGGCCACACTCTGGACTGAGGCAAATTCCCTGCCTCACAGAGGATCCTCAGGTGGGCACCCTGCCTAAATAGGAGTCTAGGAGCTCTGCCATCGGTCGGTTGACAAGGACAGCCTGCTCCGGAGTGGAGACACTGAAGACTAACATCCTGGCCTCCTAGGGACCACTTATGCTGCCCTCAGAGGGCATTCTGGGCCACGGGCGTCTGCTCTGCTCACTTTCTTCTGGGGTTAGAGATGGGGATGGGGGAAGAGCCCACTGCCTGCTCAGTGCTAAATGGAGAGGAGCCTGGCTGTGGGGGGGTGTGTGGTGATGCCATCTGCCATGGGCCACCCCGGCTTCCACTCCAAGCATCCTCCCCCAAGGGGAGGAGGTGGGCCACAGGGTTTTGGCCAACCCGGGCAGGTTGATCCCTCCTTACTCAGACAGGGCAGGAGGGGGCGGTCCCCATTCTGCCCTCTCCCCATCTCTCAGCCCTCTGTCTGCCTCCACCTCCCCTCTTCTCCCTCCCTCTCTTCCCCTTTGTTGCCATGTCCCAGCCCACGTGCCTCCCTCCCTCCCTTCCTTCTCAGCCCTCTCTGGCCCCCACTCCCATTCCTGCCTTAGGGCCAGCGCAGTGAGCTGCCCCGCCCATCCATGCACAGGGGAAAACCCCTCCAGCCCGAGTAAGGAGGAGCCTGTTCTCCGCACCGCCCGGGCTGCTCTCCCTGTGGCAGCCCTCACGTCTCTGTCTGTGTCTGTCCATCTGCATGTCCCCAGCCCATGAGCCCAGCCTGTGGGCCGCCATGTTTTACCTTGTCTCCGCTTCCTTCCAGGACCTTCTACCAGTTCGAGGCTGCGTGGGACAGCTCCATGCACAACTCTCTCCTGCTCAACCGGGTCACCCCGTACCGAGAGAAGATCTACATGACTGTCTCAGCTTACATCGAGGTGAGAGATTCCTGAAGCTGCCGTCCCCCCAGCCGGAGCTGCTCGCCAAGGGGCAGGGAGGGTGCTCAGTGGCCCTGGACAAGCCCAGATGCCCCTATGTCTTCTCCGAGGACTTGTCAAGTCCTTGTTCCATTCCCTTACTTTCCACGTTGCCTCCCACTCACTGCAGGGTGCGGCTTTGCCCTGGGGCTGTAGGATGGCTCCTTCCAGGCTCCATGTGGGCTGGAAACGGGCGCCCCCAGAGTCTTGGGCTGCACCCTCCCTGTGAAGCACAGAGGTGGTAGGGCGGGGGAGAGGCCGAGAGCAGGGATATTGCCAGGTGGGGGCACTATTGAGGAATAAGGAGGCTCAGGGAGGTAAAGGCACCCCCTCCCCTCTGGGCCTGAAACTCCAGCTATGATATGGGGACCCACTTGCCTGCCTCTTGGGATGCTGGTTTGTTGGGGAGATGCTGCCGTTCTTGCCCAGCAAGGCCCCGGTGCACACGGGCTTTGTCGGGGTGCTGTTGAGCTTTGGGAAAACAGAAGAGCCAGCTGTATGAGACGCAGCCTGTCGGCACCCAGGGAAGTCACGGAGAGGAGAACGTGGGTGCGGAGCTGGGATCTGCTTCGACCCTCACAGGCTTTTTGGGAGTGTGTTGCCTGATCCCATGGCCAGGCGGCTGGGGCCTGTGTCTAGGATCCTCAGGGTCCCTGGCACCAACACCCAGCCACCTGCAGCCCAGGGAGGTGGGATCCTGGCTTTCTCCCAGGAATCAGCTGGGGGGAGCAGAGACCTCCCGCCTGGGTCTGGCGCCATGCCAGGGGACCATGGAGGTCTGAGGCTGCCGACCAGTGGCTTGTGCGCCCCCCCAAAGATGGTTAGAGGGGGTCTGGTGCCTGGGTCCTGTGGGGATGCTCCTGTGCCTGAGCCCCTGCCCTGTGCCCCATGGCAGATGGAGAATTGCACCCAGCCAGCGGTCATCACCAAGGACTTCTGCATGGTCTTCTACTCTCGGGATGCCAAGCTGCCTGCTTCACGCTCCATCCGCAACCTGTTTGGCAGTGGGAGCCTGCGGGCCTCGGAGAGGTGAGCCTTCGGTGGAAGTGATGGGGGGTTGCACAGGGAGCAGCTGGGAGAGGCGAGCCTGCAGTGGGGGTGGTGGGGGGCTGCATGGGGAGTGGCTGGGAGAGACGAGCCTATAGTGGGGGTGGCGGGGGCTGGGGTGCTGCTGTGTGGACTTTGCATGGGGAGCGGCTGGGTGTGCCCGGCAGAGGCTCAAATGACTGGCCTGCTGCAAACCATCCCAGATGAAAAGGTAGACCAGTCACTCTCCTAACCGTTCCCCTGCCCTGGGACCCTCTCGTGGGTGGTCCTGGGGCCCAACTCCACCCCCATGGCTGGGAGACCTCCTCCCCAGGGACCTCGGGGATCATGCCAGCAGGATGGGGGGCTGGGTTGGGAAAAGTGCACTCTGGACAGAACCTCTTGCCTCCTGGAGGCTGGCAGCACCCAAGGGAGTAGAATGTCAGGCCCGGGACCAGCCATCCCCTCTGGCCCTCTGACCAGTCCTTGCATCCCTGGGGTATGGGGGTGATGGACAGGAAGGTCAAGGCAGTGAGGAGGGGGCTTTGTCCCAGAAGCGGAGACTGCCACAGGTGCTAGGCCTCCTGTGCTCACCTCCTTCCCACGCTGTCTTATGGGCCCCAGTGTGCAGGACACCTGGGGCATAGACAGGAGGGTGGAGTGTGGGGTTCAGGACTTAGTGGCCTCAGGCTGGCTATGACCCAGGCATCCGGGGGTCACCCAGAGGGGATGGGATACTGCCTGCCGGCTGGGCCTGCCTCCACGACAAGGTTGGCAGTGTGCACTCAGCAAAATGGGGCCTGGAGGGGTCTGGGATGCAGACTCCCCAACAAACCAGTCCATATGGGCTGCAGTCCAGGGACCCCATGCAAGGCCACCCAGCAGGGCATGCAGTTGGACTTGTCCCCAGTGTGCATTGGACAGGCCCTTGCTGGGCCTGGTGTCCACACGTCCTCTCTCTGCTCCCTGCAGCAACCGCGTGACGGGCGTCTATGAGCTCAGCCTGTGCCACGTGGCCGATGCAGGCAGCCCAGGTAGGCCTCTGCCCTGCTCTCTCTGACGGGGGTGGAGGCACTTTGGCAGGGAGCGGGGTTCTCTGGGGTCACTCAGGTCACCTCAGCTAAACTGCCATTTTGGGGGGCCCTCCTTTTTGAGACTCAAGTGCTCACATTTGAACTTACGGGGTTGTCCCAAGAGGCCAGAGGACAGTGAGGGTAGAGGCAGCACTGGGGGCTGGATGACTTCTGTGAGCAGGGCGCTCCCAGGGGTACCAGACTCCCTCTGTGGATAAATCCCCACCCTAAGCCCAAGGCCTGGAGCCAGGGCGGGAACGTGGCCAGCCCAGGGTCCCCTTTCTAGGGATGCAGCGGCGGCGAAGGCGAGTGCTGGATACATCTGTGGCCTATGTCCGGGGCGAGGAGAACCTGGCGGGCTGGCGGCCCCGGAGCGACAGCCTCATCCTGGACCACCAATGGGAGCTGGAGAAGCTGAGCCTGCTGCAGGAGGTGAGCTCGTGTGCCGTGGGCACGGACAGCCCAGGCCACAGGTGCATGTGGAAAGCAGGGTGCTGGGAGGGTGCTGCGGCAGGGGTGGACTGTCCCTCCACTCACTGTGAGCACAGACGTGGGGGACGCGGATGCCTGACGGAGGGTGGCCGGGTGGCTGGGCCGAGTCCCATCAGCAGCACAGCCCGTGGGGAGACAGTGGATGGGCTCTCGGGTCCACATGACCCTGGGGTGCAGCGGCTGAGCCATGTCCCGCCTTCTGCAGGTGGAGAAGACCAGGCATTACCTGCTGCTGCGGGAGAAGCTGGAGACCACCCAGCGGCCTGGCCCCGAGGCGCCATCCCCTGCCTCCAGTGAGGACTCTGGGTCCCACGGCTCATCCAGCCCCTCCTCCCCACTCTCTGCTGAGGGCCGGCCGTCCCCTGTGGAGGCTCCCAACGAGAGGCAGCGGGAGCTGGCCGTCAAGGTAGCTCAGGCAGCACTGCCCTGACTGTGGTCCCTGCAGGGCTCTGGGGACTCAGCCTTGTCCTATTAGGGCAGGAGCTGGGACAAGGAGGGTCCATAGAGGCCCTTTGCCTGCCCCTCACTCCACATATGTTGGAATTTGGCAGCCTTTTACAGCTTCTTCCCCCAAACAATGATCTGCTTCCTTGAATACCTGTGCTGATGGGGAGCTCATCCCCTCTCTCCAGAGCTGGCTCTTTGGGCAGCTTGATGGACCACTGGGAAGACCTCTTAGGCTGGGCAATGCTGCTCCCCCATCTTTGCCCTGGGTTCGGGGCCTGCTCCCAGAGGCTTCCCTGGCTCACCCATCACCTTGGAGGCTGTAGCCGCTGTGTCCAGGCCTTTAGCCAGTCCTCCACATCCAGGGGCCGTACTGCGGTCGAGCCAGGTCCGGGGCACCACCCCCAACTGGACATTTGCTCTCATTACAGTGTTTACGCCTCCTCACGCACACGTTCAACAGAGAGTACACCCATAGCCACGTCTGCGTCAGCGCCAGTGAGAGCAAGGTAGGCAGCAAGGGGCTGTCCACAGGGCTTTCGTCTCCAAGAGCAGTTCTCACCCCTGTCCAGAGAAGGAAATAAGGGTTTTCTTAGAAACATACTCTCACAGCCCAAAGGAGCACTTCCTAGCCAAGGGCCTGGTCTGGTCTGTGTGTGGGGTCCGTGGAGCTCTGGGGCCTTCAGGGCGAACCAGGGTTAGGCCCACCCAGGACCCTCCCTGCTGCCTCCAGCCTGGCCCTCAGCTGCCTCTGTCCTGGGTGCTCGGGCCCCAGCCCTGGAGCTGTTTTCCCCTACCAGAGGGCCACTCATGCCGCCTCGCCCACCCTGGCACAGAGCCCACTATGCACAGCCCCCTTGCAGCCTGGCCTTCCTGTTTTGCACTAGCCTCACCTTCTGCCTGGAAGGGCCTCTCCCTGAGGCTCCTGGATTGCCCATCCTACAGTCGGGGCTCCAAGACTGCACGTTGGCAGAGCCTTCTCTGACCCCGCTGTGGTCCCTGATCCCTCCTTGGAGTGCAGCTGTTACAAGTCCCTCCTGAGGCCAGACAGAGCCCACAGCCCGGGGAAGGGCAGGCCAGGGCCTCATGGGTCTGGGAGAGTTTCGAGGGAGGCTGGGAAGGGGGTCTGGCCTGCCATTGGAGTGAGGGGTGCCCTAAATGGAGGTAAAACATGAGCCGAGGTGCAGGAATTTGCCACTGCGGGGGCATCCACCCCCCGTCTGCCCCACGAAAGGCTCGCTCTCCTCCACAGCTCTCCGAGATGTCTGTCACCCTGCTCCGGGACCCATCCATGTCACCTCTGGGCGCGGCCACGCTCACGCCCTCCTCCACCTGCCCCTCTCTGGTTGAAGGGCGGTATGGAGCCGCAGAGCTAAGGTGAGTGCGGACCCTGAAGAAGTTGGCAGCGCCACAAACCCGCCAAGGACGGTGTGGCTGCCGCTCTGGTGCAGAGTATGGGGACGGGGTGGGGCAACAGTGACCCGGGAGGGCCGCACACAGCTGGTCAGGGTGGGGGTGGGGGAAGGGGTCCACCCTGCGCCCTGGCCGGCACGGCCCCTAGCTGCTCTCCAGTCATCTGACTCTCCCGAGGACGTTTTCTGCTGAAGCACTGATTTCCAGTGTCATGGGGATTAATGCCGGGAATGGATCAAATGGCACAAAACCAAAAACTGTTTTCAGGGGGATGGGCTCACACAATACTCAGTAGGATAGGTGATCCCTGTGGCAGTGGCTGCAATGCCCGGCCATCTCTCCCGCCCCCCCAGCCATGCTAGCACCGCCCACACCTGAGCCCTTACATTTTATATCCCTCAAGGTGTCCACATTTCATCCAAGCCCTCTGGGCCTCCCCGGAGATGGGCCTTCCTGGCCGTGGGTCAGGCTTTTTGGACCTGGCAGGCCCCAGTGCGGAGGGCCCCTGAAGACATGACAGCCTGGGCTCCGCAGGCCATCTGGGGAGAGGGGCTGCTTTCATGAGAGTGGGGGACAGAAGGTGCCATGGGACAGGGGCAGGGCACCCTGGCGCAGCCCTGGAATCGGGTGGCCTAGGCCTTCTAGCCCCAGCTGTGGGCGTGTCTGGGTGGACAGATCTTGAGAGGTACCCACAGCATCCTGAGGGGGCGATGCAGGGGGTGGGAGGAAGCCCGGGCCAAGATGGTGGCCCGGCCTGGCCAGGGCATCTCCTTGCAGGAAGGCAGAGGCTTGGCTTTGTTTTCCAGGACCCCTCAGCCCTGCTCCCGGCCGGCCAGCCCAGAACCCGAGCCTGTGCCAGAGGCAGATTCGAAGAAGCTTCCCTCCCCAGCTCGGGCAACAGAGGTAGACAAGGAGCCCCAGCGCCTGCTGGTTCCTGACATCCAGGAGATCCGGGTCAGGTATGTGGGGGGCCCCCAAACGGGGGTGCTTCTGAGGCCCCACCCAGCCAGCTTTGTCCCCACAGCTCCATGCGAGGGAGACAGGCTGGGCACCCTGACCTTGGGCAGTGGCAGAGAAAGAGCAGACAGCACAGAGAGGAGGCTGGACCAGGGCCAGGCCCGGGGCAGGGGACCCGATGGGTGCCCCTGCAGAACTGCAGTTTCTGTGCATCTGTGCGTCACTAGTCTGACACCTGTGCAGCTCCAAGAAGGCCACACTCTATGGCTCACGCTCACGTGACAGGGAATGACTGCTTGGGGCAGTGTCCGCTCTATTTCACTTTCTCTGTTGTACAGATGGGGAAACTGAAGCTCAGAACTGGTGGTTCTGGTCTCCGACCTCCCAGGTTGGGGTTCTGCCAGGCATCTCCCAGCACTTCCGCCCTGGCCGTTCTTGGGGGCCCCTGTCTGACCTTCCCAGTGGCCAGTACTGCCAGGGGCCTGGTGGTGGGTTGGGTGCCCACGTAGAGACACCCCGCCCCCTGGGCCAGGAGCGCAGGAGCCAGCAGCTGTCCCTGCCCTGCAGCCCCATCGTGTCGAAGAAGGGCTACCTGCACTTCCTGGAGCCGCACACGGCAGGTTGGGCCAAGCGCTTTGTGGTCGTACGACGTCCCTATGCCTACCTATACAACAGCGACAAGGACTCCGTGGAGAGGTTCGTGCTCAACCTGTCCACTGCCCAGGTGGAGTACAGCGAGGACCAGCAGGCCATGCTCAAGGTGCGGCCCGGGAGACGGGATGGGAGTCCTGGCAGGTCGAGGCTGCAAGCCTCCAGCAGGGCTCGGGAGGGGGCTGGGCCTAGTTCCCGGTGGGCCCTATTCCGGCTAGCTGCCAGACCATGGCCCTAGTGTTCTGTCTCGCACAGCATCCCTCTGCCTCTCAGGTTGGGGGTCCCCTCTGCCCACCCGTGGGGCTCCTCATCCCATGACAACCAGCCGTGATGGGCTGTGGTCCTGTAGGGGCGGGGGAGCAGGCATTGATCCACTCCCATTCAGGAGAAGTCAATACCCAGTCCCCTTCTCCTGGGGCCACCCAGCCCCATGGGGTAGGTCATGTAGTGGGCCTGGGAGTCCGGCCTTCCTGTCCCCTGGCTTTTCTCCTCTCCGAGTCAGCAGTGGCGCTGGATGTGTGTGCCGGGGACCTCAACCCCTTCCGCTGGCAGCCTCAGTGCCCGCTGGCTGATCTTTGATTCCCTCTGGTGGGCTTTGGGGACACAATCTCAGCCTGCCTCCCCACACTGTCCCCCACCACAACAGCTCAGCCTTTAGCAGAGGAGGCCAGGCCCAGCAGCTGAGCCATGTCAAGGGGAAGGAACCTCGTTTGTGGGGGTAAACTTGTCTTCGGGGGGCACAGAGCAGTGGCAAAGTTGCCCTGGGGCGTGCGAGAGACAGGGTGTCCTGACCGCAGACCCTTCTGTTAGGAGGCCACACCTGTCTGCGTCCAAATGGGCTGTGCAGGCCACAGAGAGTGGGACAGCCTTCCCAGCTCTCTCCTGGGGGTCTTCTCTCCCGTGTCCTGCACCCCCCCGAGCTGCTCCAGCCGGGCCCCGGGGAGCACGACCCTGCATGCTGACCGGGATGGTGGGGAGGCCTTGCGCCTTTTCACGGCCTCCTGCCTTCGCAGACGCCCAACACGTTCGCTGTGTGCACGGAGCACCGCGGCATCCTGCTGCAGGCCAACAGTGACAAGGACATGCACGACTGGCTGTATGCCTTCAACCCTCTCCTGGCCGGCACCATACGGTATGGGCTCTCTCGGCAGTGCCTGCCCTGCTCCTTGGGCGTGGGAGCAGGTTTTGAGGACCTTAATGGTTGTTTGGCTGTTGCTGCTGGTAAAGTGCTGTACTGGGGGGCCGTCCTTGTGTGGCTGGAAACACAACACACGGGCTCAGGGGAGCCCCGCTCCCCTACACCCCACCCTTCCAGAAGGCAGGGGGCTGAGTCCCAGGGACAGGAGCTGGTCTGCGGGTGAGGGGAAGCAGAGGGGATGTCAGCTACGTGGAAGATGGCATCCCGACCGTGGCATGTCTCCCCACCCTCCCACAGGTCCAAGCTCTCCAGAAGGCGGTCTGCCCAGATGAGGGTGTGAGCTGGAGCCCTCCCGGACAGCCACAGGCCGGCCCCCCCAGCCCTCATCACCACCCATCATGTCACCGCGCCCAGCCTGCCCCTACCAGCCAACCAGCGAGTTCCCTCTTGGGGACAGCATCGGGCCCCATGAGCGCCACCTCTGGCCCGGGGACCTGCACCATACGACCTGTCCTGCTCCCAGCAGAGGCCGTGTTTGTTCTTTGGTCTTTCCAAGCGTGCCCTGGGTGGGAAGAGCTGGGAGGTGCTGGAAAGGCAGAGGGCACAAGCCACAGGGGCATCGCTGCCGTTCTAATATTTTTTTAAGCATAGACAGACTTATAATTAATATACATTAGTTAGTGACATTGAAACGGTCCACTCAGAAATTAACTATAAGACTGTGTTCTATTTATAAGTATTTATTTCTAATGCCTTCACATAGACCTGTAGGATTCAGATGGACCCTGTCCCCCGCTTGCTCCCACTCACATCCCCCAGGGCTCATAGGGAAGGCCATGGTGAACGGGTGTCCGCACAGGCCAGGCGCCTCCTGGTTGGCACCATGGGGCACGCCTGGCCAGGCCCGAGCGGGGGCTTCTCCCCAGTCGCATGGGAGGGCAGGCCTTCATTCCGGGTGGGGGGAGTGTGAGTGTCAGGGGATTTGGTGCCTGCCCCCTGAGCTGCGCGGAGGGGGGTGTGCAGTCTTCCAGCAGGAGGTGGCATCCTATCACTGGGACAACGGCCTCGGAGATACAGCTTCTCCCTGGGAGCATGTGGAGCAGAGGGAGACCGGGCAGACAGGCCCCTGGCCTGTGGGGCTCTCCCGGCCAGGACTGCAGCTGGCGTCGTGTGTCCTGGCCGCTGGGGTGCAGGTGGCTGGGGTTCAAGGTGGTCCGGGCAGCGAGGGGTTCAGGTGCCGCTTCTGCAGCTGCGGTGAGAAATCGGGTGAGCTCCAGGTCGTTCCTGGGAAGAAAGTGTGTGACCTCCCCCCTTACCCCAAGAGAAGAGTTTCTGAGAGTCCCGGGGTCAGGTGAGGGCAGCCGGCCGGCCACTGTCCTCAGGGAGGTGCTCCTGTCCTGCACCCAGGGGCTGTCCTTGTGCTGTTGGGTGCTCTTGTTCCAAGATCTACTTCCTTCTCTGTGCAGACACTACACCCGAGGCCCAGCCCCCACAGGGCAAGGGTCAGCCCCAGGCTGAGAGTCTGGTCAGGCATCACACCCAGACCAGAAACACGTCAAAGAGACCACAGGGCCCGGGGGTCTTCAATGACCTGTTCCCACACCCAGTTGGCCTCCTTCCAACTCAAGGAAAAACAGCAACCAAACCACAAAACCCCTGTCCTTGCCATGGCCCCCTGAAAGCAGGTTTTATTCAGAGTTCAAGGGGTTCCGGGCCCAAGTTCGCAGCCGGCCAGTCTGTCCACACTGTTCTCTGCTGTCTTTACAGGCCCTGCGGGGCGTGGCTCACAGACCCCTCACATCTTCACCCAGTTTGGATTACCGTGTCACACCTGGTCAGGGGTTCCAAAGCCTGCCCCATCCAGCCCGGGCCATCCCCGATAGACTCCCATGTGACATGTAGACCCAGTGTACATTCTGTGCACCGAGGCTGGGAGGGTGTATAGCTGCGTTCCAACAGGGATGTGTGGGGTCGGCTCCCACACCGGGTGAGAAGGTTCCAGTCGGGGGCGCTCCTTGGGGAAAGTTATTCAGGCCCCTTCAGCGCTGCCTCGGACGTGGGACTAGGTTGGTGGGCACCTGACCTGAGCGGCCACTGGCAGTGGGGTGTGGCCCGCCAGCCACCCCAGCCGCCCCAGCCCGACCAGAAGCAGAGAGGCCAGCGTGCCTTCTCCACCCCCAGCCCCAGGCAGTGCCTCAGTGGCCCCTTTTGCTCTCTGCTCCCCCCCACCACCAGTGCTTAGGAGGCACCCCTGGAGTAGTAGCTACTTCACTAAGACGCGCGTCCTTGGGAGGCCACATCTGCAAGGCACAGGGCTCTGTAGCCTTCCTTGGAGGCCCCGGATGAGTGCTCCCATCTCAGACTGAAATCACACGTCATCCAGAAACCAGATGTTCCCAGGCTGGGACGCAGAGAGCAGGGGTGCGGCATGGTCCAGAGCAGCACTTTTTTGGCTTTTACGAGGGCCTGGAGGGCAGGGAGGAGGACCACAGAGGGCAGGAGCTGTGCTAAGGTGAGCTGGTTCCCAGGAGCCCCGCGTGCCCGCAGGGAGCCTAGAGGTGCTGGGCCCTGGCTACAGCCCACTCAGGTCAGCCAGCCTGCAGCTGTGGCCTTGGAGGGTCTGAGGCGCTCGCGCCCAGGACGCAGGTGTCTGAGGCCAGCCAACCTGCAGAGCACCTGCCTCGTGGGGCGGGCTGAAGGAAGGGGGCCTGCGCGAGGGTTTCTGGGAACCACCCTAAATTCGGGAGCCTCCACAGCCATGGAGGTTCTTCAAGGACTGTTTAATTTTGGCCTGATGCCCCTTGGTAGTTGCTGGGAGCCCTGGCCCTGTTGTCACAGCCAGACCCTCGGAGTGCTGGGGAGAGAAATCCGAGGCAGAAAAGCTGGTCTCTTCACGTTGCCCTTGCCAGAAGCTACCCACATGTCACATTAGGGAGCCAAGCATTTAGCAAACTGGGATGTAGGCTTCACCTCTGTGACCCCGGGGGGCTGATCTGGGGGCCCCTGAGGGTCTGCCCATTGTGGGTGCAGAGAGGAAGGTCAGACCTGACAATTTCCCACTAAGTGGGGAGAAACGAAAAATCCAGAAAGCCACGTCTCTGGGAGGTTTTTTGTTTTACCGCTTGATGCCACTCATTTTGGTTTGAGGGACAGCCATCCTCCCCGAGAGAAGCTCTCTGCCTCCTCCAGGGGAGGGTGAGCCCAGGAAGGGGGGGCGCTGGGCTCCATTGTGTCCAGGCCAGTCCCCGGGAGGTAGCTGAGAGGCTCCTGAGTTTGTTCCAAGTCATCACTCCTTCAGTGCCCGTGTCCCATTCACCCATCGCACACACACACACACATGCTCCCGGTCCCCGGGGGGCTGCAGTGAGGGGCCCTCCCTGAGGGGCAGGTGTAGCGAACACTCGGGGTGAGTTCCTGAATGCAGCCGGTCCAGGTGAGAGCGGGGTCAAGCTGCTGGTCCTCTGTCAGCTCCCTCCCGCGCAGGACTCCAGAAGGCGCCCTCCTCTTATCCCCGGGATCAGCAGAGGCTGTGGCTTCCTGTGGGCCTGCGCTTCCTGCCGCTAGCCGTCCCCTCAGCTTCCCGTAGCTTGTACATATGTGGTTGTGGCACACCCTGGGCCCCCGCGCTGTAGCCACCATCCCGATGTAACGACTCTAGTTCCCTGACGTCCTAAACCCGAGTGTTAGGCTCTAGGCTCCTGTACTGTGTGTGTGCACTTAAGATTCTGTCCAATTAAGAAATAAATGTGGCTCCTTATGCAACACCAGACCTGCGGGCCTCCACAGTGGCTTTATTTGTGTGTGAAGTCTGTTGGATGGGGCTGGAAATGGCCGCTGGGGCCAGATGTCCAGCATTGCCCAGAGACAGCACCCACTGCTCACGGTGGGGAGGCAGGGTGGGGGGTTGCCGAGAGCCCAAGGGGTGTGAGGGACAAGATGATGTTTATCGTGAGAGAGCCCACCTGTGTCCCTTGGTCACTGGCCACACCCACACACGTCACTCACGCACCCTTGGGCGTGCCGGGCAGCCCCAAGCTTTCCATGTGGTCAGCATTACCCCCTACCTGAACCAGACGAAGGTATTACAAGGAGATGAAACTACAGACCATTAGGCTACATCCACATAGAAAATAAGTATTTTCAAATCTTTCACTAAATGGAAGCTAATGATGCATAAAAAGGATAATACTGTCATGACCAAGCGGAGTTTGTCCTGAGAAGGCAAGGTTGGTTCAAAAAATGAATCCAGTGAGTCATCATATTAAACAAAAAATCATTCTCTCTGTGGATATAGAACAAGCAGCTGACAAAATGTAATGCCCACGGCTAACTACACTTTTAACCAATAAGGCCGTAGAAAAGACCAATGGGACGATAAAAACATACGTGATCAATCAGAAGAAATGAAAAGTAAGGGCACAAAGAGCAGTTGGACAAGAAAAACATAAATACTCGGATAAGAGACTTCTGTGCAAATTGGTCCTTAGCGATGCCAACTGGAAATGGACCAAACATCCTGCTTCAGTCAGGAGAGACAACAGTGGTGTTTCGATAGAGAAATGTTCCACCAAGAACTGCTGGCTGGAAATCCAAGGTATTTGGACAATGTCTACCTCGTCATGGGGCCACACAGTACAGGGCAAATGAACGAGAACAGTTGACGATCGGGTTTCTGGATGAGCCGAGGAGGACCCCAGGGGGCTGCGATCGAGCACCAAGATCCAGGGTGTGGGGGGCATTTGTGAGGACCCCAGGGCCCCTTGAGTGCGACCCTGGCAAGGTTGTTCTGATCTCGGGGTGAAGGTGTTCACGTTGCAGACGGTCAGTCGCAAATCCGGGTGGGCACATAGGGAAGAGGGGCAACCGCAGGTGGGCGTTTAAACTGCAAATATCAGAGCTTGTGAGGACCGGCCGCGAGCCTTCGGTCTGGCGAGGCCATCTTTGCTGATCTAAAGTGCTCTCCCGAGACCGGGGCACAGTCCTGCACGGTGAGGCAACTGGCGGCAGTGGTGGCAACACCCAAGACGGAGCTTCTTCCTTCCTTCCTTCCTGACACCGGCATTCCCTTATAGTGTGCTCGCCACAGGGGACCTGGGCTTCATGCCTGCGTGGACATCCACTCTCTCTGGCTAAGCCGCCTCTTCCGAGAACCCATCCGCGGGAAGGTAGCTCTCAACTCAGTTGGATTTCATTCTGTCCTCTCCCCTCTGCCTGGGACAACCGTGTGATCAATCAACTTGTCTGGAGAATGTTACTTATTGGTTCATCAGGAGACATTATTCTGTGTGCTATTGGCTTGGAAACTACCATCACTCTAAATTATAATTCCCACAGTGGTCCTGTGTTAAATAAATTATTGGCAAAGACAGGGATCTGTCTTTGAGCATAAATTTGCCTCAAAACATCCAGAACGTGGTAAAATTCATGTGAAAATGACCTCAGTTCTTCAACAAATAAACTGCAGGATAAGAGTAAAGGGAATCTGAGGAAGAGACATCCAAGAGTCTCCTTATAGATTCTGATGTTCCTAAATGTCGAAAACATTAGGTCATCAACTCAGACTGTAGAGATCTTAGCAGCTACCATGCCTCATCCTAACGGGAAAAGCTGAATAAAACCAGAAGAAAAGTTTTCTCACACCCATCAGAGAACTGAGGTCACCGGGCTGAACGTCACCCAGAATCGAGAGCAAGGAGAGCAGACAGCCCCATCTGAGAGCTGCTTGTGGGTGCAGAAGCCGCTGGGTCCAGGGTGTGTGGGAACACTGGGATGGCGGCATTGACTCTGCATTGCTGGAGGCCGAGTGTGGCCCAGCTGGAGGTGAGGAACTCCTGGGGCTCGGGCTTAGGGGCCCCTCACATTCCTGTGGTTTTTATCGGAAGGATCCCACGAAGTTCTCCCTGAGGAGAGAAGAAAAATCCCCTCGTGTCTCTATCAGGAGGAACAGAAGA